GTGATAACCACGTCAGAGCACGCGTGCATGCAGTAAATTGGTATAAAGTTATGATTGAATGACATGTGAGGTTCAACGTCCCAAAACCACCATATGGTAATGAGAGACGCCGTAGTGGAGGGGGCTCCGGAAGTTCCGACCTCCTGGGGTTCCTTAAAGTGCACCCAAATCTGAGCACACTGGCCTACAGCGTTTTCACCTCCGTTGAAAATGCAGCCGCCGCAGCCGGGATTCGATCCCGCGACCTGCGCGTCAGCAGCCGAGTACATCAGCCACTAGAACACCACGGCGGGGCTTATGCAAAGAAGCTATGAAACTGCAGCCGAACAAAACATCTCCAGCCGATGCAGTGTTTCTGAGAGGATGAAGAGCTCTTCAGCAGTCGATCACTATATACTCTAAAGAAAAGTCGAGCTTCGCTAATGTGCGGGTCAGGCTCTATTCATAGCGGGGCATTGCAAGTCATTGACGGACGTACTGAAGGCGGTTATTATCTTGTTTTTGTCTAGAAGGGGTTGACACGTGTTGTTGTTACCTCTTAATTAATACAAGTGGGTGCACAAACGAAGCTTCAGCATCTCTTGCTGATTTCGAGCTTGAATGTTCAGATGCTACTTTGTGACGTGGGCACATCTCTGTCAAATGAGCTTGATACATCACATGTTCACTGTATGTTTGTCATGTTTCAACCATTAAATGTTCACTTGTGAGATCTACACGCGTGTGCTTCTCACTCGTCTTCGTCCGTCTTCGATAGCGCAGTTGTAAGCCACGTTTTGCAGCAAGTGTTTCAATAAAGTCTTGGAAAACAATTGATTTCTCTTCAAACAGTGACCATCTTCCTGTATACTTTGAAATCTCATGTGCTGTGAAATCTATTGAAAGGACAGAGAAAACATTGATCAATTACAAAAAATTTAAAGACTGCTTGCGTTCCAACATTAGGGCAGTGTCCAGTGGTCAAAATGAAGACCTCGGTAGAAATCTCTGTTCTGCTTTAACAATCTCCCAGAACACTTCAGAATTTGTAATTGCTTCGTTGTCATCCAAAAGTGCCCAACCTAGTAGATGGTGGAATAATGAGTGCACACGAGATTATAGAAGAAGAAAAGCTGCATGGAAAAGACTTATATGTAATCAGAGTCCCAAAAATTGGAAGGATTATCAGTTCATTGCGGCAACATTTAAACGCACTGTATCACGAGCGAAATAGCAATATGACCAAGAACATTTCGAGTACCTGTCTAAATGAAATAACAAACGTGCTTTATTCAATTTCCTTTGTAGTAGGAAGAAGACCCCTATACCAGGAAACGTTGACTCAGTAGTTCACACCTCACAGGAACTACAGGAATCATTGAATCAGTTGGCTAAAGAATTAGAAAACAGGTTCTCAACGCATCTTCCTAATTCGGCTTACACAAGAACCATCTATGATTACACAGAAATATCGACTTCCGAATTAAATCAGGCTATGGAAAGATTGCCAAATGCAGCACCAGGCCCCGATGGAATAACAAATACAATGCTAAAAATACTTCACAGGGAATATCCAAATGATCTATTAGGTCTCGTCAATTATTCCCTTAGGAGAGCATGGATTCCTTCTGAATGGAAGATTGCGAAAATTATACCATTGCTTAAGAAACAGGGGGCAGGCTATAATTTAGACAACATACGACCGATAGCCTTAACATCTAATGTAGTAAAACTTATTGAAAGGGTACTTCATGGTCGTATAGTTAGGTTTATTAACGAGAAACAACTCTTGAGTTCTTCTCAAATTGGCTTTAGATCTGGATATTTCATATGGAATGTACATGTAGGTCTGGAAAGTCGTATTCATATTGCCCGTCACAAAAAGCACTTTGCGGCTTTAGTAACGTTAGACATATGTAAAGCATACGATAGTGTAGAGTATTCTATCTTGACTAATCAGTTATGGAGTCATGGACTTCCACCTTACATAGTAGCATGGGTGACGGAATTTTTAAGTAGAAGAGAATTCTGTTGTTATCAAGGCGGTTTCTCTTCCTGTAAGCACAAGCAAACCCGAGGTGTACCTCAGGGGTCAGTACTTTCCCCGGTTCTATTCAACATATTGCTTAGTACCATCCCCGTTCATCCAGATGTGAAAACCTATGTTTATGCCGATGACATTGCTTTCTTTGCTATGGCACATGACTTCCACTGTCTCTACACTATCTTGCAAGCATATCTTAATGAAATAGAACATTGGCTGGATGGATTGATGTTGAACCTGAATACCGGTAAATGTGCTATTCTCGTTTTTCCTATCAAAGATCCCGTGCACATATCAATTAATTACAAGCTTCAAGATATCCCACAAGTACAATCATTGAAATATCTTGGAGTTATGTATAATGAACATCTAAATTGGCGCCCTCACATTGAATACATCGCGACAAAAGCAGTACGCGCGATGGGCGTATTGCGGAGGTTGAGCAATTGTAGATCATGTATGAGAAGAAAGGCACTTTTGATTATATATAAAATATATGTCCGACCTGTGTTGGAGTCTGGCTGCATTCTTTTTTCTGGTGCGCCAGCCTACAAACTTCGGCCGCTCGTTCTGTTGGAAAGAGAGGCTTTACGGCTCTGCTTAGGACTTCCAAAGTATACTGCAAATGCAGTGTTATACCTTGAAGCACGAATACCAACCTTATTATGTCGCTTTAACATTCTTACTGTGCAGACATTTTTACGACTATATGAAGCACCGTTTAACCCTGAACAAATTATTTTTATTTCCAATCCTGACCTATTCTTCTCCGTGCATTGGCCCAGATTTACCAAACCACAAATAGTATTTGTTCAATCGTTACTTGAGCCTCTAAATGTACATGTTCGGGATCTGATTCCTTTAACTGAGCAACAAAATTCTCCAGAAATTGTTTACCATGACATCTTCCCAACTAGCGCTAAGCTATTAGCTACAGGCATTTTAAATGGTTTATTGCAGGACCATTTAAGTACTCTGCCAACAAATGTCATTATAGCAACGGATGCATCTCAACCACATGAAAAATCAGGCGTTGGAATATATTGCTCCGTACTTGATTGGTCATTTTCACTTCGCTTACCGAATTTTATTCCTGTCTTTCTGGCTGAATTCATGGCAATGATGTTAGCTTTGCGAAAGGTAAATATTTCCATTCCAGTCGTAGCAGTCATAATTGATTCATTATCAGTGTGCTCTTTTCTGTCCGCATCTGGTCACTCACCTATAGTGAAACTTTTTAAATCATTGATTCCCTGTCATCTCCGAAGTATTCATTTAATCTGGACACCAGGGCACAAAGGTTTGTTGTTAAACGAAACAGCTGATTCTCTTGCGAAGGCATCCCTTTCGACACCAATTATTCCTATTTTCCCTCATACAGTATACATTACGGTGGCGCGATTTCGCACACTTAAAATCAGGCAAAATTTATCTGACCCTGCACTGACGGCTTCTCCAGAGTACAAACACTTGTTATTTCCCTGGCGCAGTGAACTGACTAATTCAAGGATGATGGAAGTTGTCATCACAAAATTTCGTTGCCGCGTTACCTCTCTCAATTTTTACTTGCATAGATCAGGCATATTGAATTCCCCTATGTGCATTTACTGTAATCAAGAGGAAACGATCAGTCATTTTTTATTGCATTGTCGCCGTTTCGATTTATTCAGGCGAAGCATACTAGCACCACCTCTTCAAAGACTGGGCTTGCAACTATCACAACCTGATCTTCTTTCATTTGGAGCCTCTACACTGGTTTCCAGCCACAGGGATGTTTTATTCGCCGTTCAAGAATACATCACTGCGACTAAACGATTTTCTTGCTAAATTACTGTCTCACTATTTTTCTTCTTTTTTTTTCTGCAAACTTGATGTCGGTATTTCAAATCAAAATTAAGTTACAAAAAATTTGTGGGAATGACGCATTGCTGAAAGTTTAGGGCAAATTCACCTTATAATCGGCCAATCCCCTTCTTTGGGTACGAGCCATTTGCACAGGGAAACAACAACAACAACAACAACAAGCCTTAAACTAGCCCGACTATGGGCCACGCAGAATATGCCTAATCGTTTGTTCATCGTATGCCACTGCAATTGAATTGATATGTGGGGTTTAACGCCCCAAAACCACCAAATATGATTACGAGAGACGTCGTAGTGGCGGGCTCCGAAAATTTCGACCACCTGGGGTTCTTTAACGTGCACCCAAATCTGAGCACACGGGCCTACACCATTTCCGCCTCCATCGGAAATGCAGCCGCCGCAGCCGGGATTCGATCCCGCGACCTGCGGGTCAGCAGACGAGTACCTTAGCTGCATGCCACTGCGGTTACCGGCTGAGGTGTCAGCTCTTCATATGCGGAACGCGTACGCACAAGTAAATGCGACGCCCAACCGTAACCTTCACAGAAAGGTTCCGTCACCTCGGTGAAGTACTGGAGGGATTCGAAGGTTGGGAGTTTTGTTTAAAGAATATAGCTGTGTGTGCTCACTCGAGAATGCGGGCTCGACGTGGTGCATCGGCGCACGCGGAGCGGGGTCGCAGCGTCCGACTTGGGGCCCCCACCACCCTTCCCATTTCGGCCAGAAAAATAGTTTATGACTGCAATCCCCCTCCCCAGCTAAAAAAGAAATCCTGGCTATTCCTGTGTACTAGGTGCAAAACCTTACATCTATGATCCACGTCTACACCAGGAAATTCGCCAGTGGTCCTAAATAAAATATCTAACACAAAGAAAAATTGCACAGAACTCTGGCTCTCTTATTCGGCTTTTTCTTCGTACGATAAATGATCTTTCGCACCGGCGCCCAAACAATAATACGAAGAAGAAAGAAGATCGATACGAGTTTATTCTGCGAAAGGAGAAAAAAAAAGAATATTTCAAATACACCCGCGCTTGGTGTGTGTGACGTCAGCTAATATGCGCCTGCATCAGCTGCATTCGGGTTTTCGTGACGTCGTCGGTTTCTGGCCGTCGGCAATGAGCATGGCCGTAGGTGGGACGTGCGGCTCGGCAGGGCCGATTTGAAACAAATTGCGGAGCACTCTTTTAATTCGAAGCTATTCGCGGAAATGCATCCTTACCAAACGAGTAATCGATTTCACAACCCTGGATTTCATTCGTCGGACCGACGACCACTCTAGGTCGACGAGACTACTAGCGCCGGTATCATCATTCCTCGCTCAGAAAAGCGCTTCGGGATTTCTCTGCTGTGATCGCGGATTTGCGTACAATTTTGTAAGTTCCCTCGTCCCGTTTTTCCGTTTCTCCTGATTTCCCGGGGTCGCGGAGCACGCACCGTGCGCTAATAATTGCGGGAAAGTGCTAAATACGAGCTCGCGAAAGAGTTTTCATTCATACTACACCGAGTTGGTGTCTGGGGGGGTAGGCCTAGCGATGCTTGGGCTGTCTTCCCAAGTCCTCGGGACGACACATCTCTGCCTTCGGATTCTATCGCCCTAATGCTTCTTACCGATCTGAAGCAGTGGTAACCTTTAAGTTCTGTTATACACTTTCGCACTTAGTAGTTTTATCGTGGTTTAGCGCTGAGTATCGGACTGTAAAAAAAAATTTGGCTGCGGCACATTGGAGTGTGTTGACTGCTGCGTTTCCGATCCGATCACTTTGGACATGATCTTCTGTTGACCGCGGTGAGAAATTCTCGACCTGCATTCTTACAGCGCATAGCGACCACGTTCATTCTTGCGAAAACGCTGTGATGGGATAGCGAAGATATCAACCAAGTCCGGCATTTGTTCTTCGAGTGCCTGGCATACTCTGCATAAACACAAGGTCCGTTTTTCCACGGGGAATGCGTATTTTCATCAGTTGTTTTCTTTCGGGCAGACCATTGGCTAAATTGATTACCGTGCACGCAACCGTAATGGACGCGCCGTTGTGAACGGTGATTTCATTTAATTCAATTCAGCGATGCTGGAGGCTCGAAAAAGTTAACGTTAATGCCTTGCTTTTCGGTTTATCTTTGAGTGCTACCGGCATTTTACTTCTGGTGCTGACTGCACGTGGATGGTATGCCTTCGCCAACTTGAGAGGCGGCGTAATAATAATAATAAAAAAAAAACGACGCTAGGAATCTCGAGCCTAGCTTTTTCTCGGATGACTATCGTTGTGTTGCGGAATGTTCTGGTACTGTAAACACTTGTCCTCGTATCTTGGAACACTAGCAAACTTCGCATGATTCACGATCCGTTAACCATGGTGTTTATGGTGTAGCACCGAACGGGTTATCGCGATTGGTTAACGTGGCCTTGCCTGGCGCCGCACCATGATTCATGTCCACGGAGTACCGAGCCAAAATACTACCGGCGCTGCCGATGGCTCGTATCGCTGATGGTGGTGGTGGTCATTTTATAGGCACCGAAGTTCGTTAAGTAGCGCCAGGCGTGGTGAACCATCGTATGCAAAAAAAAAAAAAAGTGTGCTTTCGTGTGGAGCAGCATTCTCCTGCTATAGTGGCTGTCCAGGAACACCTCCGACTTGCTTAGGTTAGATGTGACGTCGGAGAGTTGTTAGTAGCTGTAACCTGCTTCACGCTTACTAACAGTGCCTAATCGTGCCATTAAATTAAGGGATGAAAAGTACCAAAAGAGATGGCATTGTTCAATGTGCCAGTTTACAGTTACGTTGGTTTTGGTAATCTTGCAGCCTTGCTTCTTTTAGTGTTTCACCTTGTGGACATTTTTTAACGCTTCTCAGTTATGAACAACTTCAACACTATGGTTTGTGGGCCAAAGAAATGATATTTATCTAATGGTTTCGCCCTACCACTGTGTTGCGACGAGTTGCACTGCTATTGGATGAGTAAGAATCTAGCTTTGATCGCAGCAATATTCAGCACCTTGTGGGACACGTCTTGGTGACCTGTGTCTTTATGGCTGTCATCGGTTAAATATTAATAATTGTTGGGGTTCAACGTCCCAGAACAAAATATGATTATGAAAGACGCGGTAGTGGAGAACTCCAGAAATTTTAACCACCTGGGTTTTTTTATCGTGCACATGAATCTTTTGGCATGAAACCACGATTGCCGATATGGTCAGTGACGGTGTCAGCATGTCACAGTAGCCATGAAACTGACATGCAATCTGAGTAACTTTTTAAAGCTTGCAGTACAAGTTACTTGATACATATTGAAGCCACTGTAGCGCAGGTCACCAGCGGTGCTATTTGAGAAAAAAGCAGCAGGTCGTCACTGGTGCTGTTACGTTTTCCCCCCTTGCATTATGGTGACAGTCAATCGCATTACCTTGTTAGGGTGGCTGAACTTGGATAAATTTGCAAAACATCTTAGTGCTCCGTTGACACTGTAAAAGTGTGAAGCCTTTAAATTTGTCCATTTGGAACAAAAGGTCAGTCTCGTATACTTCAAACTGACATTTCAAACTTCTGACGACCATGTTTCTTTTACGCAAAATACATGCTACTATCAGGAGGCGTAGTTCATCAGTCGAAGGTTACAGAAATCTGAATTCATCGTTTTACTGGAGTTATTGTTTTAGGTTAGGTTGAAAACCGAGTTTGTGTGTGGTGTCTAAGAATGATTGTGGGAATACCTCTGGCATTCATTCCCTCTTATGCCACTTCTCTGGATCTTATAAAAAGAGGGGTAATATTCTTTGTGTGTTAAGACCTTTTAAATCCTTGGCTGCTTACCAGTGATATGATTCGTCGTCGTTGTATGCCTGCTGAAATCGGCAACAACATTAAAGAGAACATCGTGGCAGTATCTTCGATTGATGCCGAAGCACAGCCGGTGCATGGCTACACAGCTGTTTCTGTGAACTTTCACTTCTCCGGTATGTTAGGACGTTGTTTCTCTCAACACAGCATTGATGCCTCAGTGAATTTTGGGTAACCAACTTCATATCGGCAAGTCAGGAATATACTGTTATCCAAATTGATCAGCATTGAGGCTCGATAACTTATGGTGCTGAAGAATGTTATTCTTGTCCTACTCTTGTTAGGAACTGCTATACCCAAACACATCTGGCTCCGCCTCTGCACTCGAGTAAATGTACTGCTTGGCCAGCTGCCTTGACATGCTCACGACAGTGACAAATGAGACACTCCAAGTTGAAGTTCCTTAACACTATTGTCTCGCACATGGAGACTGCTGAAAAAAATTAATGTGCTATATTTTAAAGGTTCCACAGAGTTCTCGCTATGTCTTCTAGGCCAAAGGCTGTTTATTGATGTCTTTAAAAGTAAAGCCATCATATAAATGTGATTTTTGTCATAATGCAGTTAGTTGGTCATGTTTTTACTTAATTAGTAGAACATCTAAGTAATTAATCTAGTATGCCTACATTGAAAGCAGTGCACATATTTTTTGTTCATTTTAACCTCCGATTGTCAATGTTGATCTGTTGTCTATGGTGATTAGTCAGTGATAGAGATTCCTTTCTATTTTCCAAATCATGCATATCACCCTTCTCTTGAAGACATTGTGAAACAACAGCGAATACAGGCATGTGATAATCGCAACAGCTTGGTATTTACCTACTTGGCATTCTTTGTGAAAAAGTTGTTTCTGTAGAAAATCTTAAAAAAAGCAGTCACTCAAATTAAGTTTGCAGAAAACTGTGACCCATAGGTTTTTGACCTAGAAGGCATGACATGTAACTTTCTCTTCCCCGAATGTATGGATAATTGCATAAGGTCTGCCTTAACTGAAAGGATGGCTATCTCCCAGATGTACATGGTCTGTTTAGAAGCCAAGAGCGATGCAGGGTGCTTGCTGAATACAGCAGGATATTGCGAAGTAATACAAACTGGCTGTTTGTAACAGGATGTGTCCACACCATGTAACCGAAGACTGAGCACCTCTGCGCTTGATAAAAACAAAACAAAAAGAACCTTGTAAGGGCAGCTGAAGCACAGTTTCCTGCGCAGCCAAAGCATTTCTTTCACTTTGCCTCTGTCCTAGATACTTGGTGTTTCACTAGCTTCGTAACAGAGGTGAAGGAATATGAAAAGCTGTTTCATTGGCTTTTAGCAGGAGTTGCTAATTAAGTAAACTATAGAGGCTGGTAGTCAAATAAGTGGTTGAGTTTGTGTCCTTTTTTTTTATGCCATGTCATGTGTGGTTGCACTTTCGGCTCTGAATTATGCAAGGTGTAAATTTGGCACTGACACGACCCTGTGGTTGTCACTTCAGCATCGTTGCAAGTAACAGTAGGTTGTTGCTGAGGCCTTTATATTACTGATAATCCTGTGATTTTTTATGATCGGTATCCGAGTGTAACCATATTCGAAGACAATGCTCGAGGTGTAATTTTGGCTGGAACTTAATTCCTTAAAAGTGGTCACTGGTTTGACACGTCTGTGAGCATGTAGAATGGGTAAACTAAACATAATGGGTAAAACAAAAAAGTGCATTCTAGGAGCACATAAGAGGAAAACCAGTGAGTTAGTTAGTTCTCTTTCTTATAGAAATGACACTAATTAATAATAATGCCTTCTCTGCAGAGCATGGTGAACTAATAAGGCCCTAAAGCGCATGGGAGGCCCGTTTTCTGGTGTGTGCCGTAGCTCAGTGTGCAATTGATGCCTCCATGCAGGCTAAATTCAGTTTAATTTTCATGCTGCAGTGTGCATGATCTATTGAACATCAAGTAATTACTTTGACAGCATGAGTCGTGTAGCATGCTGAGTAGCTTGAAAATAGTGTATTTTGGTATATAGCACAAACTGTCCTTTATTAAGACCAGTCGGTGCTGTAACAGAAGCTAAAAACGGTGAAACGTGCTACGGCAATTTTTTTTCTGTGCTACATGCTAAAATTTTGAAGGTGTAATTTAAGCCAGCAGTGTGGTTACGTTTTCTTTTCACTTTCCGGAAATTTTGCAGTTCGAACACTGCCTTTACTACTATTCTTCCAGTGATTGTTTTGGACAACTATAGACAGTAACACGGGAAAGGGGAAATGTAGAGATGGGTTTGTCAAGTTGCATTATGTTCTTGAGAAATCTGTGCCTAAGATAGTTGTCCTTGCGTAGATGCTTCGCTGTTGTAAAACAACAAACCTAATTGATAGTTGTGTGAAAACTTAACTGTTTCTCCTGAAACAGACCATACTTTTTCTGTTATGTCAAATGACTGTGTAAAACTGGAGAGGGAATTCAAGGGCCATTTTTTTTGTTAAACAGAACGTTAATAGGAACTAGCAGACAAGAAAGCCAAAGGGAGTTTAGGGAATGTTTTATGTAGTAATTACGATATATAGCTATGAAGGAATTAAAGTGGTTGGAAAGACAACTTGCCCTCGGCAGGGACAGACACACGATCTTTGAATAACACGTTTGATGCCCTAGCTGTAGCGGCGTTCGTGCTTCAGTCCTTATCGGGTATATTTGTGCGTTTGTACGTGGGAGTGTTAGTCAGCGCCGTTCCCATGTTTAAAAGCATAGGCGTGCCCAGTGAAAAGTACAGGAGTACGATTGCCATCGTAGCTGAGTTAGTATAGCATCAGGCGCATTATTTGAAGGTTGCGCATTCGGTATTTTCTGTCGCATTATTGTTTGTTAGTTTCCATTCAAAATAGTGGCTGTGTATGAGTCGAGACGTGCCATGTGTTGCTGCAGGTTTGAGCGGAGACCCCAGCCCTCTAGTAGGAGCTCGAGGAAGCATGCGTGAGCTGCCCGGTCCCCACCTGAGAGCCGCTGCTGCCCAGGGGAGCCACCGGTCGCAGCAGCCGGCAGCCATAGATCTCCCCGGAAGTTGGAGCATTGGGCTTGTGGTAAGGCTCCACCACAGCCTGACAGGGACTGATGCCAGGATTTTCTGCTGGGGGAAGGGCTCCTTCAGGGGTCATGAAGCTGAGTGAGAGGCAGAGAATTGTGGTGATGTGTTTATATGTTTGATCTTAAGGGGAGAGGAGCAGGTGAAAAATTCTTCTGTTGTACCCCCCACTGACGCTGCACCTGCAACAGTGCACATATTGGGCTCAACAGAAATACATTGGTTATAGGGCTAAAGAGAAAAAAATTGCGTATTGTTTATTTCAAAATACCAAAGGCTCAGCTCTTATCGCGAGTAGACGATCGGTAAGTGAAACGGAGGACCAAAAAGAAAAAATGTTGGTGGCGACACCACCTAAGAATTCCCGCACCAAGTGCTGTGATGTCATAATCGCATGTAGCTCCTAATTAGTAGAGAGGAAATACATTGCCCTCTGCGGGTGCATACCAAACTTAACATGGCAAGTTGCAGAAAATTTCATGTAGCCAGTGTCACCAAAATACAAAAAACATGCTATGAGATCATTATATCACACTCGGCGATTTCAGCATGATATTTGAAAGTGAAACTTTCACATTGATTTTCTTCTGTATTAATTAACATAGACTGATAAAGTAATGACACTAGAGTTTTGAGAGTATAATTTATCAATCTGAACCATTCAATCATTTCACTTTAGCGTCTTTTTAACCACCGTGAGCAAAGTCTATTGCATATGCCATGTCTACCACCAGAAAGTGAAAACAAGGTTTGGCCAGTAAGGCACGTCGGCTGGTGCCTGCTTAGGTGCCTCATAAGCTCCTTAATAATGAAACTCTTGGTTTATGAGGTATTGCATGTTATGCAACATTTGATTAAACATTTTTGCGGATACGACTGCCTGTGCTATTTGCCACACTCACTGACATGTGTAACACAGTCTCTCGAAGGTTGTCATGCAAGTTAGGTTCAGTTCTTCTGCACCATTCCGTACCGGTTCACCACGGAGCATGAGAAGCTCACGAATCGTGCATATCAATTTCAACAGTGCAGGCACAGTGTGACACTAAAAATGATTGCCAAAGTTGCAGCACATTGCAGACCTGACATAAGTTTTCTCCCCTTAGTGTGCACTCTCGGTGTGCATGACAGCTCGCAAACTGCACGTGCGGCCAGGTTATGAAATGTAAAAGTTTGCTGCTTAACATATGCGCGCAACTGATGCCCGTGTGGCTACATTATCTGCGGTGTTGCTGCATTGCACCTGACCACTTTCACCAAGCTGGCCCTGTCGGTAAGGAGGGTGCAGAAAATCTGTAAACTAGCCCTGTATCCTTCCTGCACTTTTGAATCTGAATAACATGGCTAAGAGGGTGCCGTTCCTACACTGTTGAAACCAATAGCACCGTGAAGTACTTTGTGAATTGGTTCAGGTACCAACATACCTTTTGCCGAATATGATCTCTCAAGACTGCCCTCGTAGAATATGTAAGTGCTACGATTGCCGATGGCAAGCTTTCTCAATTATTTTTAAAATCTTGTCTAACGAAATGAAGATAAACACGAATGTGACGCCCTTATGAAGTCTCCAGCTTGCTTGTTGGGATTAAAGAAAAAAAGTACTTGTAATATGGTATAAGTCCCTGAAGCTATTCCCTTACATGCAGATCTGAAAAATATGTGACTCAATGAGCTGCAACAGTGAAGTCATTCAATGTTTATGTGTGAGAGTGTTTCTGGGCCCTTTTTAGTCTATAATCCAACCACAAATAAAAAAAAGTGGTGGCTTGAAAAAGACTTTGAAGACTCCTTTGAGTTGTACCTTAGGCTTATCTCTTTTGTTTGTTTTCACTTTGGGAGCCTGGTGTGGTAGCTTAGTGGCCAAGATGATGTGGTGCTTGGCTTGAGGGTGCCGGTTCGATTGCCGACTGCACTTAAACCCCATTGTAAGAGGCATGCACTGGGTAGCAATTCTCGTCTCTTATAGGAGGTGTCTCTACAGCAGGGTACCACTTTCGCATTATTTATCTACTCCTATTTTAATTTAGGCATATTGATATCTGTTACACCTATTTTGTTGTTAAATCATTGTCTTCTCTAAAGGGGTTCAACCCTGTCATGCCTCCACCGAAATGCAAAAGCTTCTGTGTAATTAATTTGTGTGCATGTCCTAAGTGTAAATGAACCCTAAGGGGCATAAATTAATCCTAGTCGTATTATAGTTTTGTTATGCGAGATTCAACAGGTTAGTTCCTTCCTCATTCAGGAGCTGCCTGCCGTGGCTGCTCTTAACTGAGCCAGCCTGGATTCTCACAGCAGAGAATCTATGGCCAAGTCGGAAAGTACGTACCACTTCTGCTTTTCTTTCATCGTCTCACATTTTAAAGGGACACTAAAGTCAAATAACAATATACGTCAGAGTGAAAGGTCAATGTATGAAAACACCTAAAATGACAATATTATCAACAACAATGCCCTACTTATTGAGAAATTAAGGTAAATGCACAAGAACACAAGGGCCGTAGTAGGGCATTTTCAGAATGATACCTATGACATCAAACAGACCGCCTACAATCAATCACTAGTAATCGATCTAACTGAACTAAATAAAGAACTTTCCCTGCATCAACAGACGCATTATAATGCTGCTTGTTCGTTTCTGTTTGATTCATGGGAAAAAAAAAAAACACTGGACGTTACTATGGGGAATGGCGCGAGTAGTTCAAGAATTTAATTTTCACATGGTTACATGGGATGTATGGTGCCATCTAGCGGGGCACAGTTTAAACAAAAGCATCTGCGATGTCGGAGCCAAGGGAAAAAAATTGATCAATGGCCGTTTTTGCTGCTGTGGCTTTTACTGCTTTCGGTATGCTACTACTAGCGCAGTAAAGCCGGGCAACGTTGTGCACGGCAGCAGTGATATGAGACGGAGCGGTTGGTCCGCTTCTTGAGACTGGTAATTTGAAGCCGCTAACCTGATGCAGGACCATTCAAACATGATTTTATTTCAAAATATGCCCTTTCTCCTTGGCACAAAAGTAACACTATAACACTACGAGGTTTCTGGGCCACCATTTCAACAATCAATGTCGATCCTAATAGTTGACTTTAGTGTCCCTTTAATATTCGTGAATGTCTAGCTTGTTCTTAGAATTCACCATCCTGATGTGCAAACTTAGAATAAAAGAGTGCTGAGCTAGTTGGTAGGTTATTCATTCTAAAAGACTGCGCGTGAAAAGATGAAGACAAAATGAAATCAAGATGCCATAGACTCTACAACTGCAAAGGTGCTGCAGTTGTTTGAGCCTGTGGTGTCTCGACTTTTTTCCTGGGTCTATGTTTCCATGCCCTGTCTTTTAGACTGATATGCAAATCATGCAAGAGTATTTTTCTTTCTCTTTATTTTTGGTTCTGGCAATTTCTTTGTTTGTTGCTTTTGTGTGCCACATTGTTTTATTTGAGGCATTGTTTACAAGCCTACCCCTCTGTTTGGGCGGAAGACTCAAAGAAAGGGGCTAGGCATAGCTCCAGTGCATTTATGCTGTATATGCGTCAACACAACAGGCAATGAATCGTATATATTTTTGATTTTGAAGGAGGGATGAACGGGCATATTGATCTTTCTCAATGCGAGCAAGTTAACAGGTCTGCAACACAAGCTCCTCACCCTTGAAGGATATTGATTATGGCGCTCAACTAAGCAAATAGACTAAATGAGAAATAGTAAATGTGGATTTTTAAATATGTTACATCAGCAGTCATGGCTCTAATTCTTTGACGGGAGTTGACAAGCACAAGTAGTGCCCACTTTACCAAGGCATCTGTATGTGGGAGATGATTTAGCCTCCAACTAAAAGTTTTGAAGAAACCCGGCATTTCGAAACCAACTTCGTTCCTTCCTCAGGGGTGTCTGCGTAGACAACGTAGCAGCGTTGTCACATGGAGTCACATACACATGGACTGCGTTCCACGGCAAAACGAGAGAGAGAGGGGGGTCATTATCCACCCCGCGAGTGCTTTGAAGACGCTGCTGCTATGTAGTCTCCGCAGTCACCCCTGAGGAAGGAACGAAGTTGGTTTCAAAACGTCGGGTTTCTTCAGAACTTTTGGTTGGAGTCTAAGTCATCTCCCAGTTTCATACCCAACCAGACAAACTTCTGTCGAATGTTTACATTCAGGCATGTGTGCGTGCAGGGATTTTCTTGCATTTCGGGAATATTGTTTGTGCCACTGACGTGCTCGCCTTGGGACTTCTGTAATTAAGTCAATAGTGTCGTTGTATGCTTTTTGCACGATAACTCTGTAGGAGTTGTTTGAGATGTCTTGGAATAGTTAGGTACCATTTTCTTCATTTACTTTGTCACGAGTAAGGTCCTATAAGAAAGGAACAGTCGCCATCATAACTGCCTTGTGTAGTTCTTGAAGAATGTTTCGTGACTTGCAGTTGCACCTATGGCATGATAAGCAGTAGTGTTGAGTTTAGGACAAATCTCGATTAAAATGTTTATTGGCCCACACACAGGTTAAATGTAATTGGCCGATTCGCCCAGGTACTGGCAACTGTTTGTCAAGCTCAGTAGAATTTGCCGTTGTTTTCTCCTGCAAGTTTAGGTTGCTTGGCTTAAAGTAGGGAAAAGGTGAATGTATTGCAATGATGCTTGTCATTTCCCCAGATAACGTGTCCCGGGTACGATGTCTCTCATTGACTAGTCACTCTTTAACAATTGTTAAAAAAAAATAACAATTCTTTCTGATGTACTTGTACATTTGTATTTATGGCAGTTCTCTTGCCTTGTTCGATTCACAGTTCCAAGCATAGTGGTCCAAACGGGGGGTTGCCCAATGGAAGGGGGTGGGCGTGGGACCAATGGGTCGTCCCCGCCCCCAGCCCCTCCCCCCTGTGGCCCACCGCCTCCCCGCGTTCAACCCGTGCGGCTCTCCAAGCAGTCCGAGGTGGAGATGGCCGAGGAACAGCCAGCGGCACCCGTCACCATCCGGCTGGAGGTGGGAACCGAAGAAGAGGCCTCCTCCCAGCCGGTGGACAATACCAGCCGGGCCTCTGCACAGGTTGGGGGCATCTCACTGACGGCCATGTCTCGGCCATCCTTTGAGCAATTTGCTTCGAGATTGGAAATCCTTTAGCAATGTAGGAGATTGGGCTAGTTGGAGCATACTCGTAATGGCCGGTGGATACACGACAGGAGATAAACGACACGGAAGCTGTGTCACATACTTTATTCTGTCTCTAGTCTTGTTTGTGCTGGCTGTCCAGAGTCATTAGAAATTCATATCAGATAGCTTTGTATGTTAGCGACTGGCTTTTCTTTCTGCTTTCTCTCGTACTTTGCTGTCCTCTTTCTTAGTCGCTATTCTTGGACGTGCTTGTGGTCTGTGACCTGTTCAACTCATAAAGGTAGTGCTTGAGCAGGACTCGACAGGGGAACTGAAATAAGCATTTGCGCAATGCAAATAAAGAGAAAAATTGAAATTAGTGCTAGATGAGGAACAGCCTACTGTACATTTTCAGTAATCGCATAGTTGCCTCAGGGCGAGGATTGTCACTCAGAGGATATGGCTTTCCCAAATCACAGTTACGCGGAAGGTGGTGGCAATCTCAGATGAACACTTTTGGGTGATTGAGTGCAACTATGGCGCCTACATTAAAGGGGCTCTGCAACACTTTTTGAGCATAGTCAGAAAACGTTGCCGATCGGTAGTAGAGGCTTCCGACAACACGCGAGCCAAATATTATAGCACAGCACGCGGCCTGAAATTCACAATAAATTTTCAAATTCAGCTAAAAATTGCTTTCTCTTCTCTCAACAAGTCACATTATATGCCCAAAAATCACACGTCAATGACCCATCCATCAGCCATTGGCTGATTTGAACATGGCACGCTCGCTCGTTGCAGAGATCACCGCAGGAGGCCGCTACTTGTCCACGCGTGCACGTGCTATCACTGAAAAAGCCGCGCATTTGAAGAAAAAAAAAAGGAAAAAAAGTGCTCAAGGTCGCGAGGCGCCTGTGATGTTTTTGTGTGGCCCTGCCATCTCTCCCTGCTCAGCTTCCAGCACTTTCGTCGGAACGAGAGAACAGAGAATGAAATTGCAGCGTGCGACAAACCTTTGTAACTCCACTTGCACTGGACGGATTTCAAAAATTTTTGCGGCGTTGCATTCATGAGTCAATAAGCTCTTCCAGTGAATTCATTCCATGGCTACTTGAAAAAGTATTTCAGGGTGCCTTTAATGGCACAGTGCCATATAGCCTTCCCTAGTCTAGATCTAGAAATGCTGTTGCTTCACAGAAAAGTTCTCATTAAGCAATGGCTTAGCAGTTGGTTGCTGTTAAATGAGAAGATCAGATTCTGGTGACTGACGGGACCGGAACTTCGTTGGGCTTGTACAACTTTTGTACAAATGAATGAATGCGGCATCTAATGACATGTCTAAGTGGGTGTGTAAGTAGTGAAACATTGCCTCTAGTCAAATAATGTCAAGTAGTGTTGAAGTAATGTGATATTGAAATAATTCTCACTTGCGACAGTTCAACATTTCTGTGCAATACTATTCTTTTTCTATCTTTGTCAGTGGTACAAGCTGCGCTGCACTCGTTATTGCCATAATCATTTGCTCGTGATTTCACATTCATGGTGTGAATGACAACTAGATGTAATTATGCTACCAAGGGGTTATCATTGTACTTGCAGTTGCCTTTTTATTATTTTGTGGTAACTAGCAGCATTTGTTATGAAATCATTCAAGTGTCAGCATAGTAAAGTTTTTCCTGGCATCTATAAAATGTCTGTTGGGGTCTCTGTGCTAGGGTTAAACTTCACAGCTTGAATAATTGATCTGAGCACCAGGCAGGGCCATACCCAGGAATTATTTCGGGGGGTGTTTATATGTAGCATGGCCAAATTTGGTAACTGGTGGGGGATTTGAAGGTGTGTAAAGACTTTAGCATCACCAGAAAAGTTGAAGCACGAAAAAATTCTGGGCGTTGTCAGAACCCCCTAAAGGACCCTAGCTATGACATTGGTACCGGGTGACTTAAAGGGGACATAACCTGTCTGCATCTATTTGATTAGAATAAAAAAATGGAATATTTGTACATTTCTACTTATTCAATGAATAGGCAAGGTCACCAGCTGCTACATTGCGAAAGCAGCTTTGCTGATCCCTTCCTGGCATTTCAGTTTTCATGCACAGCAGTGCAGTTATTTGCTACATGAGCTTTCAAGAGGGCCAACTTTCATAAGGTTTTGTTTTGTAAGTGAAGCAAGCTTAGACATAAATAGTATTGATGTCTGTTTGATACACATCACACGTTTTTAGTGTCAACAGTTGTTCTGATAAGATAATAGCAATCATGGACAATGGCGAGGCCATGTAGTCCTGGAGTAGAAATTATTCAGACTACAGCTTTTTGTTTCTGTAATGGTTCTAGAAATGTTTCCACGTAGCCACCGGCTAGGCTAACATTTGTTGTTGTTGTTGTAAGGTGATGGAGTCTAATTCTGCTAAACCTCTAAGTTATATAGTTCAGCCTAACAAACTTCTTCATAGTGAGAAATAGGCCAAGTGAAAAAGTCCTTTCTGCTGTGTAGGTCGTGTATACACTCAAATCTCAATGTAACAGTAATGAAGATTATTGAAGTAAATGAAGATTATTCTTGTCATAGATATGGTGTTATGAATATACGTTTAAATAACCAAATTTTAGGTATAGCAAAGTTATTTTCCTGCCAGATGTGACCTTATGATAATGAGGCGTGAGTGTAGGGCATCTTAAACATGATACATATAAACAGAGAGGCACTTCATACAGTCAGTGCTCCTTTTATTTTAGCTGCTACGTTATTTTGTCTGGCTATGTGATCAATTGATGCTCTCATTATTCTGGTAATGCTGCTAATGCAAGGGCCAGGGTGCAGGGTGCTACAATTCGTTTAGAAGCAAGTGCATGTAACCTTAAAACAGCGAACAGGCAAGATTTCAACATCACAATAATTCAAATTAAGTGCTTTGAAGGTGCCACTGGAACTGAGAGTCTTGCAGTTACGTTTACCTTGCGGCACTGTAAAACACGTGTTGACATTCAGCCCATGAGGTTTTTTCGTGGATTTTCTATTGGCTACTGCTTCTACATCATGTATTGTGCATTTGCACGAGGGACAGAACTCGTCACTGCCTGGGGCAAAATGGTGAATGTGCAAAAGCAGCTAGTATATCTGCGGCACAAGCGCCTGCTAGGACTACTCCGACATAGCTGAGAGTCATGCACGTGGGCTGTAGTGAATGTACCTTCTTGTTGTGTCTGTCTGTATCTGCGTGTGTGTGTGCGCGCACTTGCGGCTTCGCCTTCCCGTCTCACTCCGTCCTTTCTCTTCCTCTTCCTCTTCTTCTTTTCTGGGACGGTGCAGCGGCTAAAGGTGCTAGTGCGCAGCCACGCGCTCCGAGATGACGCTTCGCCACCTCTGGATCTCTCGCCCGAGGCGGCCACAGCCTCGCCACAGATGCTGTCAGTGCAGGTGGGAATTCACCTTGGCTGTCCTGGCACGAGGCATTCCCCTTAGCTGTTGTTCTGTTTTTTTTTTTTTTCATGCTATAGCACAGTGACTATAATCGGCCATCCTGCTACTGAACAAAGAGAACTTCAGATGTAATGGATATGTGTCAGAGCAAACAAGAAACAGACTTGAGAAAGAAAGAGCAGAAAGCGAAAGGTCTGACGCTAACAAGCTCCATCAAAGGTGTTGAAGGGATACTGAACAAAATTTTTGCTGCCAAGATTTCCAGCCGTACTAAAAGATTGGGTACTGCAATCGATAGACGGAAGCTTCCTTTCATGCAGAAACTAAAGGAAAATAATAAATTTAAAGGCATACTTGCATGCATTCGTAGCACTCCTAAATAGATGTTTTTTATTTCCATGATGTGCGCTATGAACACTCTCTACCCACTGTGGAGCCAGACATAATGTATAAAATATTTTACATTGATTTCAAAGTTTTCGTCATCCAGCATCTGCAAGCCAGGGCCTCCACAATAAACATTATCATGGCAAGTCAAACCAGTTCACTTGGTTTGTGAAATCTGCATTCTGCGTGCAGCGTAAATAGCAGAAATTGCTCTCAAGTGTCTGGACGACAATTTATTCGTCGTCGTTTATGTGTACCATGCACGGCTGACAGCAAGCTGACGACTGTTTTTCTCGTATGTCAGTAGTTGCAGTTTTACCGTGACGGCATGACTTGTGTTGACACACCACTGTGAAGCTGCCCCTTCAATACCGAAACCGAGATTGTATTTCTATGGTTGGGGTATAAAAAAGTATATTTAGAGCGTTCTCAAGCACTATACGACTCTTTTTAGGGTTCTTGACACCCGGGTTTTCATTAAGAGCAACAATCTGGAATTATTTAAAATTTGTGTCAGTGATTTTTTAATGTGTTTTTCACAAACTGCCACATCTAGCAGTGCTGTCAACTAGAGGATGTGACTTTTCGCGACATTGCATGCACCAGAGACAGGCTTGGCTACCATGCCAGCTGCCGCCTGCGTCTCAACCCTCTCAGATTGTACTACATTTCCCAGAGCCACTATGAACAGCACTGGCAATAAACAGTACTCCTGGCTGTGGTGAAGCATCTGTGCTTTTGTGGAAGGGGGAGAGCGGGATGAAAAAAAAAAAAAAAGGTGGAGATAAGTGGACGACAAGAACGTGTGTATGCATGCACCTCGATGAATGTGATGTCACGGCTTGCATTCACGTGCAACAGCCATGTACTGAAAGTCCACAAAAAATACAATCAGCTGTTCAAACATATGTGAAATAAACTCCTTATCAACATAGTTACGTCCACGAAGTATAATTTTGATGTTTCCCCTGTTAGTTTTTTCTAATTTCGTTCAGTATTCCCTTATTGGCACTTCATGTTATGAAGACATACCCGTAAGACATGACTTATATTTGCTACTGTGAGGGACTGAAACCTGGAAGCTAACCGTAAAGATTGGTTCTTCTTGTGCCGGAGATAGAGGACTCGGCTTCTGGCTGACCACCAAGCTAGTGGTATGACTAAGAAGCCAAGGCTCGGTGGTTTAAAACAAACGATTCTATACTCGGTATTAATCACCCCAGAAAACTTGAAAAAGCAACATATTCACACTATGTACAATCTGCATTCATCTACCTTGGACAGCATCCAAGCTCGGGTGGCCCGAGGACTGCCTGGTGTCTTGAGGCTCAGACGAGACTAATTGCCGCTCTTCCCGTAGCCATGCTTCTTCCGAATGCACCGTCTCCCCTCTGGCAATCTTGTGGCGACAGTGCATAACTAGCAACACATTTTGAATGCGAACGGCATTCATAAAGCAGCGTTGGCGACGTGTCGCGAATGCATAACATCTATGTAGTTGCACCTATGTGGAAAGTGCGTTGCTGGAGAGAGAGTGACGTATGTTTTTATAGCGGTGCCGCAACGACGTATCCACTGGCTGCTCGAAGCCTTACACTAACAAAGAATGTAGAAAAAAAATCTATATAACAGGTTAATAAGGAAGGAATAAAAAATTGCTAGGCGAAATGCGCAGTGATAAGAGAAAGACCACTTGGAAGTTGTGATTGCAAACCTGTGAAAGTAATGACTTCTCTCAAATTAACTGGAAGAAATGAGGTTGTGTAATGCACAAGGTAGATGGGGGCTCTACTATAGTAAATGAATTCAGTTCCAAGGGGAGGAAATTTTAGTTGGGCACATCAACGAACTAGCCGGGTGATGTAAATAGGAAATTCCCGGGGATATAATGAAGGCTACTAAACAATGGTGTGCCACTTAGAGATTGCCGTGTGAGGCTCTTCTCCTGCAGTGTACATAAGTGGGGTAGTGTGATGATGACAGCGAGTAGACACTGAAAGTCCTCAATTGTGGAAGTGCATTTCGATAATTGTTGAGCAGGTTTCATTCAAGCATTACCTTTTGATTTTCAAGATGCCGAACAGAATGCTACTAAGAAGGAGAGTAATGCACATTTGTAAAGATTTTGGCACTGACTGTTCTGTCTTTGTTCTTTCGGGAATTGCAAGATCGCAGCTGTGTTGGATAATTTGCAGTCATCGGTTCAGGATCGACAGCTTGCTTGAAACTTCAAGTTGCACGTTCCCGCATCAGTCGTTTTTCTTCAAGGCAGTGCACGTGTGTTCGCAGGGCCCCGTAAGTTGCAAGGTGCTGTCTGGCAACAAGCCTGCCCGCCTGAGCAAGCAGGGCACCAGCAGCTCCCAGGGAAGCCTGGAAGGATCCTCGCCCAGTCTCTCAAGAGGTATGACATCTCTCGTCTTGCCGAGGAGCCCGCCTTGAAGTAGTTGGGGGCTTTGTCTGCATTGGCGAAGTAGTATTGTAATGTGTTTCATTCATTGCCATTACTTGAGGCATTGCCTGTGCATCGTTATGAGGGACTTTTCATTTGCCAAATTTTCCAATAAAGGTTTGTTTATTAGAAGAACTACATCACCATGACAAGCAATGGAAGCACAGGGGCATTATTTGTCATTTCTTATCTGTGCAGTGCAGTAATTATAACGTAAATTGACATTAATTTAATTCATTTCGATATCTTGCAGTTAGATTGAGATAGCTCCTAAGCCGATGAATGATGGAAGCATCTGGTGGCCACTGGGCATGATTCAAATATCACAATGTTGGGCTCCGCGATAACGCTCCTGATTTAGAAGTTGTGCCCTGGTACTGTGTGTATTCATCAGCATTATGTGTCGCTGCCTTTATGTGGTGGAGACATATTATTCAGCATTTTTATATCGAAAATGCTTGATTTTGTCACTGAATCATGAAGAATTAACCATGCATATAAAGCATTTAGCTCTGCCAGGATGCTGTTTATTTGCAATATCTTAAACTAGACGCTTTAATAGTGCAGTCCAAAATTTTGCTGCCTTTGGACTTTCACAGAACGCGTTTGGATGTCCCTGCATTCTGGTCGGTGCCAAAGTTTTCTGGCGTACAGTATAGCAGCTGGCATGTACCTCAGTTGTCTTCTCTTAAGTGTGTGCTCGAGAGGAGGGAAGGTGGGTCAAGGGGAGGCAGCTTCCCCACCTTAGTAAGAGGTATTTGGAGGTGGGGGGAGCCCCCCCCCCCCCTTTATCCTTTGTATTTGCACTGCATACTGACTGAGCTGCATGAGTGGGAAAGGCTTGGGAAGGAGAAAAGGGCTGTCACAGTGAACTTTGCCCACTTTATGTGTCTTTGTCATCAACTTGCAGATGGCTTATAATCCATTTTAATTGTGAGTTGGTGTACCCTGGGCAAAGCATGCACCCACAGCGTCATGTGTTGTGGTGGTGTGCAGACTCTAGCACGGAGACGTACACTGACTCTACGGGTGTGGACCTGGAGCAGTTCATAGTGGACACGCTGCACAAGAACCACAAGGACCGGGTGATGATGCTCAAGATCGAGCAGGACCTGCTCTCCCTCGTCAAGGACAACAAGTGAGTCCTGCCCGTTGGGGCCTGCTTTCAAGCGGGAACCGCTAGTGTGCGTGTAGTGTTATTATGTCTAAAAAGTACTATGTGCAGTGCTTCTTTTTTTTTTTGGAACCAGGACAAAATTCAGCTTTGTAAATGTGGCACGCAGTAGTTTAAATCTCCAAAAGCTGACATACAGTCGACGACTGATCATTCGGACTCCACGAGGAACGTACATTCGACTCTCTTTAAACGGAACTCAAAGGGGATCCAGAAAACTGTTCCATTTATCAGAAGTTTCATTTAAGCAAAGTACACTTATTAAATTGCACAAACCTCACCTTAGTCGTGTGGATGAGTAGGAGGAAGAAAGGAGTGAAGGGTAGTTTGTTTGGCTAGCTTGAGTTGTTTCACCTCAAGGTATGCACCCATGCCTGACAAACTAGCTAGAAATTCTGAACAAGCCTCATGCTCAAAATAGCTCTGCGAAAGTTCAACAGCCTCTTTAGCTGACCGCTCTGGTGGCACTACTGCACTGGAATATTATCACATTCATCGCTGGAAGGTTGATTGTCTTTCACTTCGGCAATAATTTCCTTCAGTCTCCTCACGACAGATAGAAACATTTTCATCAATTGATTCGCAGTCCTGCAGCGTGAAAGGGGCAGAGGGAACGATCTGACTGAATACTGCCTCAATGTCGGCATACGCAGAGCTTTTTTCTTCATCAGATATTGCTTCTTGCACTTGAAAGCCAGCATGGTAAAAACATTTGTGTATTGTTGTTGCTTTCACTTGCTCCCAGGCACGAGCCAAAATGTGGATAGCTGCCAATAGATTTATGCTGTAGCATTTCCCGCTGTCTGCACAAAGCAGCATTCGATAGAGCAATTGTCTGCGGCAATGCACCTTAAGGGGGGAGGTGGGGATCGAAAGTGAAATTCTTTAGTTTTTGTCGTAGAGCAATGAAATTTGGCATGCTTACTGGAAACTGCGCTAAATGATAAATGACAAAGTTTCATTCAGCTATCTCCAGTAGTTCTGGCATTATAAATTTTATTATCCATCAGTGTACTACCAAACTTGCCCAAAGCCTGGTGTGACAAAAAAACATGGTAGAAGCCTATAGTTGCTCTTATATTTTAGCCATTGGGATGGTTGATGTCGTGACATTCTGCAAATATTTTTATGACTCTGTTTTTATTTTACAGAGAACATTGTATACATGCTTGTAAATGTGGTCGTTATCATAATGTGAAATTAGCTTAGGAGTAAAAATACTGAGGTAGTAATTAACAAATATGAAAACGTCACGACAGAAAATTCACTGAGGAACACAATGCAGAAAACCACATGAAAATCCGTCAAGCCATAGTCATGCAAGCATCGTGGCAAGCTGGACAGTCGGGTCAAAACACGTTTCTGAGAAAACTGGCGTTAAAGTTGAACAGTCAGTAAAGGTCCATCAAAATGCCCCGGGACTGTAATACTTTGTGTCTTTGCTTGCGAGGGTCTTCTTACGTCCTTTCTCTTTCATTTTTTCTGCACTGCGTGCTTTTCGTTTTCTTTGCTGGTCTTTTTCTTTGCTGGTCTCAGAAGAATACTGAGCCAACATCAGTATTCTTCTGACATTGATGTTTCTCAGCCCAAGTGAAGAAGTTGGGGTCGCTCTCTGCTGGTTGTTGACAACACCCAAGACAGAAGTTGGAAAGGACTGTGCAATCCAGCACAAGCCCCGTGTAAAACTCAATAATACATCCTACCCCAATGTGTGAGCTGTGGCCTCTTGTAAGCCACGTGCCGTCATACACAACTGTGATGTTGTTTGGGCTTGATGGCTGCATCTTACTGTACACGTCTTTTACCGCAAGCACAGCATCTGCAAAGATGTTTTGTGCAGCTTCCTCTGCTCCTGGTTTGAATGTTTTTTTTAGGTGTTCCTGATAGGTTTTTTGATGAATGCCCCGATGAGAGACATTCATTGTAGCCCAGAAGTCATTCAGGGCAGTGGGCCCTTTTCCAATGGACTTGATTGCTTGCATGGCTCTTAGGTTGACTTCAAAAGCCCTTCCTTCGGATTTTCTACTGGATGACCAAGGTGAATGAATAGGGCCACAGGAAGCACACAAAAGTACCAGTTTTACTGCCAGGCCCAATTTTGTCCCATGCTGCACTGACAAAGTCTTCTTACAACATTTTGGGCAGAGTGCAGGTCCTATTAGGGAATTCATGGCAGAAACCTGAATTAGGGTGAAGTCATCCTCTTTTGTTGCCGATGTTTGCTCCGTTTGCTGCGCGAACCCGAACTTCCGCTCCGTTGCCGACACCTCGCGAAGTGCATCGCGGACACTGCTGGCTTGCTTCTCGGCGCCTTCCGAGGACACGAAACGAGGTTCCAGGTGTATTTGAACGGTGCGCTTCCGCTGAGGCAAACGATCGCCGACATCCTGGACAGCTGGCACCACGTCGTCGTCCGCTGCCGCGAAAACGAAACTTTTCTCGCGTTCACACCGCACCGTGATGCCGCGGCTAGTTGATGGCCCCGGGTCTTCAGTGTCACTGCCAGGCGTCGATTCACCGTCACTTTGAACAGCCGGCACCGCATCGTCACCCGCCGCAGCGAAAACGAAACTTCTTTCGCGTTCGGGCCGCACCGCAACGTCGCGGCTAGTTGACGGCCCCGCGTCATAGGCCTCACTGCCGAGCATCGGCAGCGAGCAGGTGTCGGCTTCCGACGACACGTAGCTTGGTGGCGACGCGGTACTCGGTTCGTCTGATTCAATCGCTGCTGACTGCTTCGTTTTCCCAACAGGAGGCTTGCGTTTACGCTTCCCGTAAGCGTACTTCGTCCGGTACTTCGTCCTGCGCTTCCGGTCCACGCGACGATCCATTGCGGGCGCTAAGCCTCGCGCTAGAGAAGAGTTGGCGTATCGGCGACCGTATCGGCGTATCGGCAGGGGATTCGCAAACTATAGTGCGCCAGCGTGTGCGTAGCAGACGTGCGTGCGCGGAGCAGACGACCAGCGCAAGCAAGCGCGTCTCGGCAGCCACTCACAGAGCGCGCTCAGTACCACGTGACAGGAGCGACCAATAGGTGCGCGTCTAAGGCGTCGCGGATGCCTTCGCATTTTTTCTGTTTGTGCGTCTATCTTAGCTCGTAGAGTCGTGGTTTCACTGGGAGAAGTACGGCGGTGAAGCAAGCTTTCCAGTGACACCAAGCTTTCCGCGAGCGGCGGCGAAGGCGCGGAAGTATCGCGCTCGGAAATGGGCCATTTTCGCGCAGATTTCAGCCAGCTTTTTGCGATCCGCGGTCAGAAAAACATTTTTTAAGCTTACTTTGAGATCGTTTTCGGCGGAAATATTTTTAGATATGATAGAAATGGTGATGCAGAATCCAAATCTGCCCTTATCCAAAATTTGTTTTTTTGCGAGAATTTCGCGATTTGATCCCCGCGTCCCCCCTTAATGTTCTGAATAACCTCTTGATCCCATAGGCTAAATCACTGCCGTGGCATTCGCTGGCAAGAACTTCAGAGTGATGGCTTGGAGTCCTTCAACCTGACCATGGGCTGGGCAATTAACCACGATGAAGATAACTTTCCTGCCTTGCCTCGTAAATCTTGCGTCTTCCTCCCGTAGCCAGTTTTCGAAAATGGCCATCGTCATCCACGCTCTTTCGTTCGCATGGCACACAACGGGAAGGTGTCGAACGCCTTTGAAACAATGTGGGTGCCTTGATTTTCCTATTACCAACAGGTTCGATTTCTCATCTTCTGCCATGTTTGCACCCACCAGCACAGTGATGCGATCTTTTCTGCGTTTTCCTCCTCTACAGACTTCGCCTTTGATAGCGAGAGTTTTTTATGGAAGCACCTTATAAAAAGGACCCATCTCGTCGACATTGAAGACGTCTCGTGGCTCAAAGCTAATCAAAATTTTCTTACGTCGACCCTGTTACCAGTCGGTGCAAATGTCCCTGTTGACTACAGCACTCTCACCTGAGATTGCTTTGAAGACTAAACCATGGCGTGTTTTGAAGTGGCTGAGCCATCCGTCCCTTAGGAAGATGTTCTGAACACCCATTTGCACGGTGATCTCTTGAGCTTTCTGCTCGAGAATCTGTCCGTTTATGGGCAAATTGGAACTCCATGCATGCTTAAACCACAGAAAAAGAACTTTTTCCAGTTGTTCATAAGGCGTCGTCCGCATCCATTTAGATGTAAAGGTCCCGTTCTTCACAGCGCCTTCAATCTTTTCTCTGTTTTCCAGATCTGCGACAGCGTCGATTTCGGGATGTTGTATTTTTTTGCCGCCTCTGTCGTGGGCAGGCCGCTTTGATCGAGCTCCTGAAGAATTTGAAGTTTCTTTTCAAGCGAGGGTGCATGGTGCGGCCGCTTCCTCTCCATCAGGCTTATAAATTAACACCGTGATCCACCGCACTTAGCCGCACAAATAGGCCTAACACACAACTGACTCGCCGACTCAGATCCCACAGCCACCACAAGTGAGAATGGCTACTGGATTGGCTTGTCTCGATGTGTTGCTATGGTTGTGAGACTACATTTGGCATAAGCGAGTCTATGCTGTGTTTAGCATTTGTGCCGTTTAATCGTAGGTGACCGATAAGCACTGTTTCGATTAACTGATGAATTTTACTGCGCTAGAGATGGAAATCTAGCCATATGAGCCCGTTTAGTTTTGTTAATGAGGCATTTTCGCTTAAGCGAGTTTCATTAATTGGTAGCCCACTGTACATATGTTTAAATTATCGCATGTTCGAAAAAACAAATGCGCCAGAAAAAAAAACTTTTATTGATGCTACAGTGGCCTGGTGGCCGGAAAAAGCTGTCAATGCACTTCCGCTGACGTGCAACCAAGTCCGTCTGTATTTCCGCCAGTGTGGTATGGTCGCAGTAGAACCACAGGTAGGACAACAAAAGGATTGCGAGGGCTTGAGACAGGGCTAATGCGTGGACTCCGGAGCACACAGTGCGTCATCATCAGACTCAGAATCACTGCAGTTGCAGAATCTGCTCAATTAGGTCGTCGTCGTTCAATTCGGCATACGATGACACAGCACTGTTGACGTTTGGGAAGTCTTCAAAGAGAACTGCATCCGGAATTCACACACCGAAGCCTCGCAGGTTGTCAATAATGTCAGGACTTGAGCTCGTTACGGTGAGCAGCAGATTCGGCTCTTTAGTTGCAGTGTCGGGTTCTTGAACTCTCTAGGAACTTCACTTTGCGGACAGCCACTGAGCACTTGCAGAGTGATGGCAGCTTTCCTTGCCATGGTTAGCGTAGTGTATGTCTGCTACGTTGCGTTGTTGTCGGTGCGGCCTTTGGTGCTGGCTGTGAAGGCGCACTGTTGAAGCTGTTTTACTGAGATCTTTTGGGACAGCTGAGCACAAAATAAAGCAGGTCTCAACGCAAAACGGAACCTGCGCATAATTCAGTAGAACGTAGTACTGCAGACACATACGACAAAATGGCGGCGATAGCAGTACAGCACCATAACAGCTCGAGGATACCGGCATTTGAACATAGAATGTCTGCAATGTAAATACGACCTCTCAGAGTTGAGCAGTGCCACCAATATCGGCATTTCTTATTTTTAAAGCTGTGAGGCAATTGTAGTAAAGCCTGACGAATCATCCAGTTTGCTTTCATTTTTTATCTCTGAGACCATACTTTCTATTGTGGGGGTATCGGAGGAAATAATGGCTGTTGATTCGTTGTGCACTCCTCTGGCATAGTCCAGGGTATCGGAATGCAGATATGGCAGCTGTCCGAAATATCAATCGTCTCTACATGTTGGTTCTATGGGGCCATTGGTGGTGCCTCGCAGCTGTCCGAATTATTGGTGTCCGATTTATTGGTCGGCAGCTGTAATTCCGGATTTGTCACAACTTACATAGGCATACGTGCGTATCGCCTATTGCTGTTTTGCTAAGTGCATCTTCCACAGAATAAAAATTGGGCTTCTTGCCACTTTAAACCTCAACCCCTTTTCGTTCCGTGTAAGCGTTTCCAGTGACGTGATAGCTGCGCAAATCGCACCGAACTTTGCCAAGAGGTGCAATCTGTTATATCTAGGCAAAATCTTCATTATTTATGCTAAGCAGCATGCACCATGGCATTGTTTTTACGTTCTTTTGGTGGAAAATGTGATGGCAGGCGCACGAAAGCTTTAGGTTACCGCTGTGATTTTGAGTGGTCGTCGCAGTAAACAGAAAATTGCTATGTAGCTAAAATAGTTTCTGTGCACAAGCCTTCCAAACGATTTCGACTCACCCATATTGTGAAACTTGCTGCGTTAGATTATGCTGCTAAACTTACTGCATTAAGTTTTTTATTACTGCTGCACCATACTGTGGAATAACATGGAATTCAATAATATTGTTTTCAACTGTTGTGGGTACAATCATAGAAAAGTTCTTGGACCTAGTTCTTGGACAGCAGTGTTACTTGACTGAATGTACTGATAACAGTTATTCAGTATGTGTGCATTGAACTGACCATTTAATTAGTTCTTTAACTTGTAGTGCTAGTTCGTTCTAATTCACTTCCAAAATATTTCATGCAAGGTGCCTAAGGATTAAGGCCATGCAGTGAGCAGATTTTACCAATAATACCATGGGCTATACAGTGATTGTTATTTTGCTGAGAAGGCGTGGCGTCATAGTATTGCGGCATATCTCAACTGGGCTTCTCGATCTTAGCAACTAACTGTACATGTGAAATGTAAATGCATATTCCCCCCATCACCATGAATTTAGTCGAGCACACATTAAGTAACAGGAAGAAAGGACCAGTAGCTAAACCCTGTTTCTTATGAACCGCACGTTAACCAAACGCTATGAACCGAACAGGTAACGATTCTTTACATTAAGAACGACAGCAGACACTTCTCCACGCAATGAACAACTAGGTTGTACTAAAAGCACTAATGTAATTGGACTTTCCTTTTTTATTTTGGAAAGTAAATAAAATGCATGAAAAAACTTAGACTGTGTATCTACCCTGTAAATAAAGCATCATGGAAAGTGAGAATCGCTTACAAATACCATCTGACTTTCTGGGAAGTACTAGGTGGTGTTAACCGACTTGGGGATGTCTGCAGAAGAGTGAAGAGCAGCGGCATAATTTAATGTTTGGGAGCTATGCAAATGAACATGCATGCATGGGTGCATAGACTGATTTCGTTTGACATGTGGTGCAGCAGCTCGAGCTTGGACACAGACATTACGGCCAAACATGTGTGGCACAAAATTGACGCTAACGGTTGCTGAGCTGCTTCCAAGTGAGGTTTTAGTTGCTCTAGGTGTTGCAACAAAATTGCTTATTGCTGTGTTCCATCGTTTTCAGACGTGATCAATACTGTGTGATCACTCTCCATGCTTGCTTGTGCGCTAAGCCCAACTTTGTAAGGGGCCCTTTAATAGCAGTATCAGCAGGTGTGTGTATTAGACGTACCAAGCATATCATGTTCACTTGGGTGCTTTCAAAGAATGTGTTAAAAAAACACTTGCACTTATCTTCCTGATGCAGTTGCGTGCTCTTTGTATTGTTGCAGAAGGCAGTCATTCAAGTTTGCCCAGATGAGCTCGTACCACCGCATGCTGGTGCACCGGGTGGCAGCGTACTTTGGCCTGGACCACAACGTGGACCAGGCTGGCACGGCTGTCATTGTCAGCAAGACGCGCAACACTCGCCTGTGAGTGTAGTGGCCTGCTCTGCAGATCCGATTTGGTGTTTGACATCTCAAATGTCTCGTACATTATGCCTGTTGGTTGAGCAGAAGAGACTGCAGAGCTGACTGAACTGCCAGTGTCTGCATAATTGCTCAGTTGTTGCATTCCTATTTATAGTCTACTGGCATGCTTCTCTAAGTGAGCAAGCAAAGGAGCAGGAAAAGAGCTGCATGAATGAAAGGTGTAAAGGAAAGAGTGATTCTGTAGTTCCCTCTGAAGTTTCCAAGTCTCCCATTATGTCAACGAAAGACACACTGGCATACTTTGTAGGCCTGACATCCGGTTCAAGGACCAGATTCGTGATGACCTGCTGTCCGAGGAGCCCAAGAAGCTGATCCTCAAGCGGGACAGTGCTTCCTTTGAGGATGGAAAGGAGGCAAGCACCCCTTCTTTACCACTTCCCTATAGTGCACGCGCTCGCATACCTGGTAAGGCTCGTTCTGTGAAATGGGATTAGTGAGGCAGTGCTTACCTTGTTGGAAGGTTGCATACTGTAACGAGGGTCATCTGATTGGTTGGTATTCGGGCCTCTATAACTTGTGCATTCTTTCCGCACTCTGGAGACAACAAAAATAGCTTATATGTAAACATCCAACAAGATAAGAATAAAATCTGCATACTTCTGGGCAGCATTCAAGCTGCTGTTAGTGCTTTAAATAAATCTGGCTTTACTGGATTGTATGTGATAGTCTGAACGCTTTGACTTCACACACTTACAGTGTAGAGCTTGTGTAAAAGGCTGTCCAAAATTTTTTGTTTGCAAATATTTATTTCTCGAATAATTTCTGTGCAAGTGAGGGTAGACAGAGTTAGCTGGAAAGATTAGATTTAGCAGTTGCAAGTATGATGCAGTCTCTGCAAGCACAGGGTTGTTTTAACTTTGAAGAAACGTAAGAGTTGCCTTTGCTCTGCAGTAGTTCAGTCAGGCCGCTGCTGATGAATCCAGTAGTGCGATAAAATCTTGTCAAACAGAGCCTGAAGGGACCCGGAAGGCATGCTGCATTTAACAAAAGTTCCATTTACAGTCGAAACTCGCAATAACGAAATCGCTGGGGAAACCGAAAACATTTGTTTTCGCGAGGATATCGTTGCCGCGAGTATGAGACATAAAAACAGTGATACGGCCAGCAGAACGAAAATTTATTGCCAGAAGTCGGTCAACTTACTTTGCCGACCCTTGCCATGCAACAACTTCAAAGCTCTGCATTCGCACTGGAAAAAGTGGTCCATTGCTACGTCGTCGTCATGTGCGCCGAAGGAGCGAAGGGTGTCCTGCGCATCCAGAACAACTCGCAGGTTGTTTCGGATGCGCTAGCACGTCGTTTCTGCTCACAGTCTCGCTGTCAGCAAAGTTAGGGCTAAGGCCGACTCCAATGACGCGCCGCGCTCGTAGACCGCGCGCCCGCTCGTAGTAATCTGATCGCACATCCGGTGTGACCACTCGTAGTAATCTAACTGTGCCGCCGCTTACAGCTTTGTTGCTTGCGACGAAGCACGTCGCCACGAGTGCGCTAGCGTGTTGTTCCTGCCCGCAGTCTCGCTGTCGGTGGAGTGAGGGTTAAAGACGACTCCGATGACGCGCTGCGCTCGTAGTAACCTGATCGCGCATCCGCCTACTGCTCCTAACTAAAGCGTAATTATATCTTAAGTGATCATCGAGCCATGAACACGTCACAAAGTAGCAATTTTCGAGAGCCATGTCCTCGCGACGCACAAGCAGCAGGCGAAGATCTCCCGGAGCGAGGCGAGCTGAGGCAACATGGCGGCCACAGCCAATCAAGGGCCTCGAAACGACCTTCAAACATTTGCTTTTTGTGCGCTTGTTTTTAAAGGGAGGAGCCAGCTGAGGCGGGAAAGTTAAACGGAGAAATGCTCTCCGATGAGCCCAAGAAGCCGGCTCCCATCGGCTCCCACCATCACGAAGCCATTAATTTTTTGAAAATCGCTGTTTTCTCGCGATTTCCAGAAAAAGTTTTGCTACCTAGGTGGGTGAAATGAATGTTCCGAAGCACTTCTGTACTGTTTTCAGTGTAGATATTTTGGTATCAGATAGAAAAAGGGTTCCAGAAACTGAAAACTTGATTTTCAAAAAATCGATTTTTTTCGCCATTTTTCGCGATCCCAAAGCCGCGTCCTTCCTTGAGTAAACAAAAATGGCGGTACCCACGTTAGCGCGGCAAAAGCAGACGTCTACAAATTTTGAGCGCGCATAACATGCATACGAGCATATTTTCGACAGTTAGCCTTGGCGGGAGGGTAAAATAAGGCCCGCACCGTGGTGGAAAATTCGTTAATGCGGGATCGCTGTCAAAACCATTTCGTTAATACATGGGCTTCTATGAGCGTTCGCCGGGAATCCGGAAATATTTCCTTGCCGCGGGATTTCGTACTCGCGGGGTTTCGTTATTGCGGGTTTCGACTGTAGTGATAGATGGCTAGAGGTGGAGAATCCAAGTACGAAACCAATCATGTTAGATGTGGTTGTTTCCTTCCAGAGATTTCCATTTACTAAGAGTCCACTGTAACTGCATTTCATATGAAATGAAATACGAAATTAGGCTGCCTTCGGCCGTTCCATAGAACATATGTTTGGATGTCTCTGCTGGCTATTCTGTACCAAAGCTTTCTAACGTACATTAGTTGTCTTCTGACAGGCACAAGTCTTAGTCTTCAATATAAAAGCTGCATTACATATCAACAGTCATGACAGCTGCGCTGAAAATCAGTTTGCAGAGCTTTCTAGTATTTTCCTTTGCCAGTGCAAAAGTGCAGCAAGTGTCGCCGACATCTCTCCGACACAATGTTGACCACAGTCAGTGGTTCAACATTGTGTCGATATGTCATTCACTCCTTTGCCGCCGAACATCTAAAGTGGGTGCACATAATTTCAGTGATTTTACTTAGGGTGTTACTAATTAATTGTGATTGAAGCAGTGATCATATTATTGAAAAGTCACAGATCAATTGTGCAGCTTTAGATTGCTCACATTTGCGCCACAATCTTACGACAATAACTTCTGAGTGCATTGTCAGCGGCTGTGCTTGAATAGATTTATCACAAGTGTTGCATTTACGTCCATGTTACTAAGTCTGTGTGATAAATTTGATTGGATAATAGTTCAAATGGCTTCTATATATATATATATATATATATATATATATATATATATATATATATATAGAACGATAGAACGATGCATAAGAAGGCTGTTAAGAGCAAGCCTCGACTAAACATGCTGCTGCCTCTGTAAGACACGGTATGGGCTGGTCATATAATTCATAGGGCAGATAACTGGCGTTCAGGGTGATGGGATGGTTACAAAGGGATATGGAACGCAGCCTAGGATGGCTCACGTTAAATGGAGTGATGAAATTAAGAAGTTCACAGGTATGGAACGGAATCAGCTGACATATGGCAGGGTAAATTGGAAGTCACTTAGAGACCCCCTCGTCCGGCAGTGGACATACCGTAGGCTTATAGTAATAATGATGATGGTTGTTTTGAATACTCTGGTTATAAACAGGCAGCTTTTGTAGCAGAGTAGGAAGAATGCTTTAAGTTGTACTTAAAAAAAATTGCGTGAAGAAATTTTCGTTGAGAAGCTCATCGGTTGATGCCCTCTAACGTGTCCCAAGTCACAAGTAACTGTTGCATTTCTAGTTTCTTCTTTCTGTTTTTTTTTCTTTTCTTGGCAGGCATTTATGCGTTTATGCTTTTTTGTTGCATGACTGCTGTCGCCTAATATCTGCAGGGGGCGCATGGACTCTTTAACGGCTAAATAAGGGCTCAAAATTTTAACCGTGCTCTCACTCGGACCCAGCGAGTTTTGTATGCCGAACAGCTCTGCATGGTGCATGCGCAGAGCCCTGAGCGACAGTTGTCTCTGGATTCGAGGAGGAGCAAGTCGATCGAGGAGCGAGAGGAAGAGTATGAGAAGGCCCGTGCACGCATCTTCAACCAGGATGTGAGTCTCTCTCTTTCTCTCCGCCAGGGAAGCCATCTCCCTCTTGCAATGCCCCAGTTCAGAACCGCCTGATAAGTGCGAGGGTGGCCTTTGTTACCGACTCGATAACACTGCGCAGTGTGAGAGAATTTTGCCAATCTGATTTTGTGTAGTCCGCTACTATGCGTAATATGGGCCGCAAAGTCCTGCGCTCTCTGTTGTAAAAGCCGAGGCAGCACTGAGTCTTAAAAATTGCTGTAATTAATCGAATCGCGGTAACTTCAGTTGTCTGATTGCTTTTCATAAGTTATGCACTTAGAAAAAAAAAGCTTCTCTATCAGCTAAGTTGCACCGTAGTTGTTCAGTAACTATGTACAGTTGTTCAGCTGCCAATTTAATCATAACAAATGCTTTGTAGTTGTAGCCCTTGGATGCTCTTTTTGAAGAACTAACATGATTGGTATCGTAAAGCTAGAAAGTGACTAGGCCACAGGCTTGCTTTCCAGTGGGATTGCGCATACGGGAAATAGCTCGGCTGACGCTACAATGAAGAATGTATTTTTGTGGTTCTTCACTGATGGCTATAACATTCACTTATCGAGAGCAACATAAAGTTTACTGGTATTTGCCTGATGTTTTTTACTGGTCATGTTCAAACATCTGTTGCAATTCAGCACAATAATAGAGAAAAATTGGGGGCGAGCTGACAGGCATAGATCATCATTTGTACCATACTGGGATGCACTTCACCTCTACAGATCTGGGCTCATCGCAGAAGGTTGACTTCGCTTGTTAGCTAGGAAATACCGGAAGAGTTAGGAGCTTTGCCTATTCATGAAACTTGCATCGCGGGGCCTTGTTGCTTTGTCCATTCTGGACTTCTGGTGAAGCCACTTGCATTTAATTGTACAAGAATCTGTGAAAATTGAAGTTCAGGAAAGGATGGAGGCCTGAAGAGATGAGTTGTCAAGGAATGTCGCTGGAGTAAACATAATACTTTTCGCCTTTTGTAGAGTCTTTCGAGCCGCAGTTGCTCTTGCTTAATGATAGTGCTATGTGTGTGACAGCATGGCCGAATTGCTTAGTATGCTCCATACTATAAGGTTAAGCAAGTACATCAAAATTGCACAAGCACAAACAGCATATGACTTCAGGTAACGAACAGAAGCCTTGATAAGGCTTGTTATGAATTTAGTGCCACCACTGTTATAATGTACGGACATCATATACAAGTGTCACCTAATTGCAGTGGAATGTTGTTGCCTTGTATGTGGCTTAAATGACATAAACTGCTGCATCGAAGTTTAGTAGATCTTCTGTAGTTTCATAGTACCAATGTGTAACGCATTCCATGAAATGGAATTCCACATGTCCAAGCTATCTAAGCCCTGAAGTGGCGCTATTGTAAATGCGGTCATGCCACGTCTCATCATATCTGTGTAATTATGACAGAGGCTTTCACAATTTTGTGTCATGCAGGTAAGCCGGACATAAAAATTGTCATGCAAAAGTCCAAGAGCATCTTCTCGGGTGATTTAGTGCTTGGTATAAACGGTGTTGCCCCATGTAGCTTTGCCGCTGTGATGTTGCACCACAGGAACGTATGCATCTTTTTGTTTCTGATGATGGAACAGTATTCTTCATGAAGCCAATCTGCTGGCATTTATTGCCAGACAATAGGGGCCAGACATTCTCTCATTGCTTTAGTGGAGGTGTTGGTGACCTGCTAGTTAACACTTAGCATCTTAGTGCAACAGATATGGGATTATGTGCACATAACATTGTAGCTTAATAAAGAGGTCTGCGTGGAAAAGCAATTAAGTGCAAATGTACGATGAGCAGTTTGCAGCGCCGACATGATCATACTGTTCTTCGACTCTGACTTCACTGCGACTGGGCCAATAGATTGTCATTTTACATAATTGGACACGGTCAATCATGTGATCGATTGCACAAGTTTCGTGCGACAGATGGGTGTTTTGCATAAAGGTGAACCTTCCCCTGATTCTATGAACATTTCCCTTTATAGGACTACCGCATGTGTAGAGCACTATGTACTGTAGAATTCAAAGTTGCTTTTGGCAGGCATCTGACATTTGCTACGTACCGTAAAACGCAACCTTTACGTTGAACAAAACTAGACTTACTAGAGTAGTTGTGTGCATGAAGTGTCTAGCGGGTAATCGCAAAACCTAAACATGAAAGCTCTTGTTGTCCGGTATGTCAAAAACCAGCAAAGTTGCAGCGGTAGTGGTGGGAAATGGTTGTTAGTTCGTTTAGCTACTGCACTGTTTTCTCATTTTTTGCTCTGAGTTGACCATTCTGCTTTCCTTCCTACCAGCTCACTCTGCTTTTTTTTCCTATCTCATTTCCTGTATTTCACTGCTGTGCTTTTCTTGTGCATTAACAATAGTGTGTTGAAACCTTGTGGCTTGATTGAGAAGATATAAATTAACAAGATTATACCTACTGTGCTGTGAGAAACTCGAGTTTGCTTGCCACTGCCAGCACTGAAGTTAGGAGTTTGAGCATAATGATGAGTATTACGCTCTTTGCTTTACATACCTCAGGTTTTGCACGAATCTTGTAGAAGCCTTAGTAAAGCTTCGCATGTTTGAGATGAAAGTCTCGCAGTGCTAATTTTATTGTAGAAACACAACTTTGTGTAATTGTGCTCAGCAAATGTCGAGCTTGACTTGCCACTGGCCTTTAGGATCGAAATTATTTCTGAACACAAAAGCAAACAGCCAGATTGTGATATTAGCAGTCATGCTCAAGAATGCCTCCAGGGGAAAAAAAGAAATCTTGGAAACTCAATCGTGAAACATTCGAAGTACTCAATTTCTTTCGTGAGCACAAATAATACCAATGTCACACATAGGCACCTTTGGTTGCAATCGGGGCCACTTCAGCTCAGACTTTCTGATCCTGGGGAACAGTAGTTGCTGCTATACAATCTAAACAGATTCATATCATTCTTAGCACAGACATCAGCCAGATTCGCGATGTGCTAACCATGACCTTGATCCTGATTGGATCCGATTATGATAAAACTTGACCTTGTATCAGAAGTTGATCCAGATTGAGCCTAATCTTCGTCGGCCCTGATTGTGATAGAGAGTGCCCGTAGGGCCTTTCACAGTGAGCATTGTGGTTTCCGTTCTAGGATGCCGAGTGGCAGCCTGTTCTGACCGACGCTTGTCTGCTGGCTTTGTAACCTAACATTCATTGGTGAACAGCTCTCCAGTCCCCCTTTTCCCTGCCTCTCTTGCCTGACTGTGAATTTGCTACTGTGTGCCACGTGGTGGTGGACTGCACGCATGACTCCTGTCCCTCTTGCTTGTCCTCCCCTCGTGCTGCTGCTGCTCTTAGGAAGGGGTTGGGGACTCCCCCGCCAGCCGCAGTAGTCAAGAGGAGCTTCAGTGGAGCGGCGACAATCGCCCCTGGAGCAGCACAGATTCGGACTCGTCGGAGCGGCGCCGGCACTTGGGGGCGCGTCTCCTGCTCGCCCCCAAGACTGCCGAGGGGGTCGCGCAGGTGTGTGCCCCCCTCCCCTGTACCCCCACTCCCCCTTTATGTCTAATGTGCTTGGGACATTCATGCTTCCCTGTAGAGACACGAACAGCATAGGTCACATTGAAAGAATAAAAGACGAGTGACGCTATTTCTTTTAGAAGGATATGATGCTAATGGATAATGAATGTAATAAAAGGATGCATAGAAATATGAGAATGCATTCAAAAGAAAATTTAAAATATTTTGATAGGAACATGGCAATGATCTGCAACCCTGCCTGCATGTTCGGAAACATGGAAAAAAGAAAAGAAAAACTGTCTCATAGTTTTTCCAAAGCGACTTGCAGGCAGATGTGCTGTTATGTTGTCCAGCGAACTTCTCCTTCTGAGCTGCAAGCTTTTTCTTTCACTGTCCTTCTTTGACCTTCTTTCTATTCTGCACTGTGTGCATGTGCCATGCTGTAGCTCGAGCGTTGAGCACCTGCTCCAGGATCAGCAGCAGCATGCAGGCATGTAACTTTCAGTATTCTGCACTTTGCTGGCTTGAGTGGACCTGACAGAATAAATAGGGTGCCACCTGTCCAGCTTGCATTACTTCAAACGCCCAAGTGAACTCACAGGATTGTAATGGAACTAAATTGGTGCATTTTCATCTTACCCTTTGTACAGCTCCCATATTTAAAAATGGGAACAGACGAAAGAACGCACAGGAGAGTTGCTGAACTGAAGCTGTAATTTTTATACTGTACGTGTGCACGCTCAATACATCCATCAATAATGAAGACGTGTTGGGTCAGCTTAGTTTGCCTTTTAGTGGCTTACCCAGTTAACCCTGTCCGATTTCTATGTCTGCTGCTAAGGCATCTGCTATCACTCCAGACAATGGATGGCTAACGCAACCATATTTCCATTTTTTTTTCTCATAAAGACGGCCATTATTGCACGAGCAGCTATCAGGTATGTGAATGTATCGCTGTGTGAGGTCACTTGAATAACTACAGCGAGTGGCAGCAAGGAAATGAGTTTGCTGAGTTTGTTTTCGGCAGTGATCTCCATAGCACTTAAGGGGGCAGACTGGTCTTAGACATTTTTTCTTTATTTTTTCAGTAATCTTGATCAAACTGCACAGAATTATCCAGTTTTTTTTGCTGATTTCAAATATTTAATTGGTTTTCCTGTCACTAATCTTGTTCCGGAGATAACATAAATTCACGCCGTATTGTTTAAGGCCACCATAAAAAAAGCGCTTAATTAAAAGTGATATTTAAGATATGCCAACATAGACTAATGACTATAGATTGAAAGTATGCAAGAGTTTTTTGGGCCTTTCTTGGCGCTTTTACAGTAAAATGAATCATCATTTTCAAAAGCAGTTGGAATTGTATTACAATTTTAATGAGTAAATACTTAAAAAGGCTTGTGCTCTAAATTATGCTCCTATACATGCATTCTACACACATACAGGTTTCAATTGCAAAAAGAATTATTGTTGTACCTGCCCCTAGCCTGCAGAGACACTGAGGCTTCAAAATTGAAGTCGTAAATTTACTTTTTGAGGAAAATGGAAAAATCTTAAAACGCACAGCTTCTTGAAAAAGCAACAGTCATGGTGCGCACGTATTGCGATCCTCATAAAGGGGCTCATAAATTTGTAGCAGAGCTTCTAACACAGGTGCCGGCCAATTATAAAGAAGCCTCAAAGTCGGTTCCCCATTTTTTTGCAGGTTCTTCATGTTAACAGCACCAAGAATCTGGACAGTTAGAATGACAATACAAAAAAATTACTACTTCCTGGTGTGCAAAAATTTGCAGAGAGATAGAAAAATACTTGCAGAAACCAAATATGTCAATTTTAAAAAAATGATTTTTTTGTCACTTTTGGTCCCAAAGTCTAGTCTGCCCCCTTGAATATTTAGTAGTGTTTATCTTTGATAGAGATGTTTTCTGCAATTAAATCACCTTGTAACGTTGTAGATTGTTGAAATAATTCCATCTTTTAAGAAGGACACTTCACTTGCATGCATTCTGCTGATTGTTGTTGTAGCGTTGTGCAATCTGCCATCAATTATCTCGTGCTCATGTTGGGCATGCTGCAGTAGATTTGTCACTGCATGGTGCCGTCTTTCTGGCAAGAGAAATCACTCGCCGCCTTTTTGTGCTAATTGTTTTAGCCACACTTCAGAAGCTTTCTGCTAAATACTTGATTAATTAAATTTATTTGTTAAAAATGCTTTCAGGGCCCAAAGGAACAACTAAAAGGAGTTGGAAAGAAAGTAAGAAAACGCACAAATATCAGTGCACAAATGTTATAATACATTTTGTATGATAATCTTGAATTTATAAGCACAGCTTACGCAACAATGGAGTCTGGAACGCGATTCGAGCAACGCTTCTTCTAGGAACAAGAGAATTATTACATAGGTTTCATGCCTATCAGTCAAAGCTATTATGCAACGGTCGGAGGTTCGAAAGTGCGTCCTTTAAAGCATTGTGGTAATGATAGATTTTGTGATAAAGATTAAAGAAGTATTGGCACGAATTTAAATTATTTTCAGGTTGTTGCTCTAAATTAAAACATTGATGTTATTATGCTTGGGAATGCATTGAATATATTTTTCAAAGCACTACCTTAGACAGGCAGTTTTGGTTTTGTCATCGAGCAGGCGGCTTCGCTGTGACATGTCAGCACAAGTCCGGTGTCACGGGAAGGCTGCAACTCTCCACATACCAACAACAATTGTCAGTTTGCTGTCAGTTGCACATGGCTCACGTTAACAGGGACGAGTGAATTGTCGTCCTGCGACTCTGACAGTATTTTTTTGGCTTGGGCTGCGTGCAGGGCACAAAGTTCACAAACCCAGGGACTTGTGTTGGCTTGTCATGATAATGTCCATTTCGGTTGGGCTGGCTTTCAGTTGCTAGTTGATGAAAACTTTGATATCAAAGTAAAAGCTTCAATAGGGAGTTTTAGTGCTGGGTACGCAGGCGGCTTGCGTACGCAAGACGATGGGGCGGCGGTATTGCGCATGCGCGAAGCCCCAAACAGATGCGTCGCAAGATCGCTGGGGCGATGGGGCCATGCGTCCGCGCGGTCCACCTTCGCAAGAACTCACGGTATCCGCACTGCGGATACTCTAGCCGTCGAGTTAAAATAAGCCAAAGTGCGAGTACTTATAGCGATTACACGGTTTCAGCCAGATTTCCAAAGCTAGAATGGCCTGGAACATAGAAACTAAAAGCATATGCCAGCCCCAGACCAGCTGAATAGGTGGCGCCATCTAGTGCGGCCATAGTGAAACAGACAACCACAACTTTGTTTTGCAGAAACATTGTGCATTGTACATCTGGTGCAAAAACTGCGCAGCGACAAAACTACAAACGAGTAACCTTTTTATTCATTTTCACCTCAAAAACATTACGCGTAAGCTAGCATGTTCATGACTGCGGTTGCACGAAGTGTCACAAGATGTCGACACTGTCGTTACAAAAACTTTGTATTTCACTTTTTTGCGTATACCAGATTACTGTACACAATAAAAAAAGTATCCTGATCACTATGTATGTTTAATTTAACATTTTAAATCATAAAAAGACCTAAATCATACTTACGCGACAAGACGCTGTGGCTCTGCGAGCGCGTGTGACCATCGTACGGCTTGCGTTTGCGTGCGTGCCACCATGGCGCCAACTAAAAGGAATTTTTGGTTGGGTATGGGTTGGGCACGCAACGCCGCGCGCTCCCAAGCCCGCAAGGCCCCAAGAGAATGCGTACCCAGCACTAAAACTCCCTAATATTGAAGTAAAATAGTACTTTGTATGTGTTGTCTGGCATTTGGGCATATGGAGAGTGTTGATAATGTGCACACACTATCAGGAGTGCTCCATGAACCTTGAGGAAAAGCAACATTTTCATGGTATATATATATCTCATAGGAATATGCTTAGGAATCTGCTCCAACTTTTTTTTTGCAGTTTTGCCTAAAAAATTATTAGAAAAATATTCTATAAATATTCAATTTGCAGTCACGCTACAATATTCAAATTCGCTTCACACCCAATATTTTGCTATTCGCACAGCTCTAGTTTTTTTTTCTTTTTTTTCCACTGTGAACCAGCTTTTGTAGCTTTAAAATCACTCCTTGGTGATGCTCAATGGCATGCCACTTAAAGGGCCGTTACATTGGCAAGCTCATGTGACACGAAGTTGCCGAGATTGTCTTTCAAGGTCCTGATATGTTGCCATTTGGCATATTGAAACTTCCTGTTCGGCATTCAAAGAACTTCTCCTTCAATGTCACTCACATTTGTAGCCATCTGGCATTAAAAAAGTCGTAGTGAAGCGATGAGTGCTCTCGATAAATTTTCGTGAGCTTTCGTGATGGGAGCAGTGCATCAGCATTTGTGCTGCATCGTGAACAGGTGTGACACACACACAGGTTGCAGTGGAGCGTGAAATGAATCCACATAGGAACTCGCAACAACATGAACTTCGTTGCGACTTCGTGGCGGTGGTGGCATTGCCTTCGACCCGCCTGATGGGCGGCAGTTGCCAGCACTGTGGGCGTGGTTCTGGTTTTGTAGCGAATTGTAGTGTGTAGGCAATTGGTGTTATAGGAAATATGTGTGTTAGATTCAAGTAAGTACTGTAAGTGGCCCATAGGAGGCGCAAGGTATGCCAAGCCAGCTTTTGAGAATGGGAGGTAATACATTCATAAATTTCTAGCCTTTGGTGTTCACGCTGTAAACAGATTTCCAACAGTGTGAGTAGTTAGTCTTCAGAAATGTACTTGTTTTATAAATGCTACACTTTGTTATAATCATGCGAAGTTCACTAAAACTTGCACATAATCGTTTTCACATTTAGAAAAGCATTGTCTTGAAGTTTGGAAAGTTCAGGCGTTTTGTAGCAAGCAGAAAGTTTGGAAAGTCAAGGTGTTTTGTAGCAAGCAGAATTGTAGACATGCATAAAGCCACAAGCAGGAAGTTTAAAAAAAAATTAGCGTAGTGCTTTTGATGATTGAATAATAGGAGCACTTGGTTTTCTATTATTAATTTTAGCAGGTAATTATGTACAGCAGTGCTTTCCAATGAATGCTCATTTGCCCGTCCTTTAGATTGCATCTCTTTCAAGTAATCGGCAAACAAACTAATCAACAAGGAAGGTCTAGAAAACTCTTTCAAAAGAATGTTTCTAAAGGTCACAGTCATTTGCGGAGGAGCTGTCAACTAAGTGTTGTTGCAAGCATCCTGACGAGGCAGAGAACTTTAAAACTCTCAGTCCTTGGTGCAGAAAATGTCTCTGAAATTTAAAAAAACTAAAGTGCAGGGACAAAAGAGTTCATGAAAACAAACCTTGTATGTACTGGTTAAGGACTTTCCTCAAACATTATTCATTGCTGCTGTGTTGTGCGAATCTAATGATCTAGAGAAATCATGCTGCTAGAGGAAAACCTCATCGATTTGAACTCTGTTATTTAAATATCTCGCTTAATTCGAAGTATTTCCGCGGTCTGGTATTTTGCGAACTTTGGGTGCCCTGTACCAGTTCTAGATTTTGATTTTGCCGCGAATCCGCGGTCAATGCAACATAGTGATACTAATGAGTGGCAGCTGAAGCACCCCAGCCTGTCTACTTTCAGCGCAAAAAAGAGGAGGGAAAAAAACGGTCTTGCGGTCAACCGAAACGGTGCGCCTGTGGAAAACGAGACGCGCTTCACTGCAACACAGTGGAGATGCGCGGGCAGCATATTGCACGTTTCTCACAACGTCAGCAGGTCATGATTTACACATTTTTTCTGGGATTGTAAAGAAATAAAATACAGTTAGGGGGAATTCGCGATGTATGTGAACCTTCAATTTCCGGTTGCTCCAGCAATTCTCGCCTTTGCACTGCTGACGGAGTTCTTGCCAGCAACAGGTACTTCGAAAACTAAGGTCGAAAGTTTCAAATATAATTTTTGCCAGCCAGAACACATCGTGAGTTTCATCATACTGGCCATTATTAAATTATACCAGAAATTTCCTAATTATGCCAGAATGTGAATGGACGCATCATGGCATCGTGACACAGCGAGGAGCAGGTGATATGTTGCCCGCGTGTCACTACTGTGTATTAGTGTAGACATCTTGTTTTCCACAGGCGCACATTTCAGTTGATCACGACAGTGTTTACTTTTTTTTTTTTTTTTCGGTAGCAGCAGCAAGGCTCACCGTTCCTTCGTGTTTGTGGCAAAATCAAGACCAGGTATTGCTCGAAAACATAACCCTTGGAGCCGCAAGCTAGCCGGCACAGCAAACGATGAGCACTGATTATTTTGAATAGCTCTTCCTTGCATCCCACTTTTACAGGGAAAGCTGTTATGAAATCACTACTCGGGTCACGCGCAGTTGTCCGCCGACGCTGCCGGTGTCCGTAACCACATCGCACGAAATTAGAAAAAAACCTAGCACCAAAAATACAGTGAGGCTTGGTCCGCTGGGTGCCAGCCCAGTATTCTACCACTGAGCTACGCTGGTGCTTGTGGCTTGTTGGTAAACTTGCCTTGGGCAGGCTTGATGTCGGGAAAGCAATCGCGTTAATACGACTTATAAAGCGTTCTAAAACAGCGAAAGAACAACTAGTTGCACAATGCGATTAGCGTAACGAATAGGCCAGCCAATGCTTGAACACATTACAAAAGCTTGTTCTTGTTCCCCTATTAACTGTGGTGCATACCCACTTCAGCTATAATTCCTCATTGTCGTCAGGCACTGCATGAACAAATAGCACAAAATTGCTTGCAAGTGTTCAGCGGATACCATGCTTCTCAGGAGAATGACAAAAATTGCATAGCAAATGCCGGCCTACTACCCAAAAAGTTTTATTATTAATGACCTAGTGGGTATCAAGCAAGTGTGCTTGCAGTAGTTATCCAATGAGGGTTTTGAAGAGGCTCTGAAAGGCCACTCTTCTAGCTTTCGCTGTGACTGTGCTGTGCCTTCCGCGCAGGCCTGGCATTTTTTTTTTTTTTTGTATGCTGTGCTAATTCGAAAACCCGCTAATTCGAAGATTTCTCGTGGTCCCAGTGACTTCAAATTAATGAGGTTTCACTGTATGTGTATTTGCTGCCACACTCTCAGGATAACTGAAATTTTTCATTTCACAAAACATTGACAAACAAGTGCAATAGTTTTTTTATTATTACTTTTCTGTTGCCGGCACATGTATGCCACTTTCACACAGGGGAAGACTCCATTTTCTAAGACCGTTTGCCAGAGTCAAGCCCATTTTCGACCGCTGTGCATGGTTCAAGCGAGTTTTAAATTTTTTTGCTGCTCCATCTTTTGAAGCTTAAAAGAACTCGTTAAAAAACAATCGAGGTAGCTTGCTGTGACACCGCCAATGCTTGTTTCAGGATGGGCGGGCTTTCTCGTTCATTTCTGGTTGGGGTAGGGTAAAGTGGAAAATGCGAACCCAAGATTAGTGTGAGATTCACACAAACTCTGAGCTTACCCAACTGACATGGATGTATAGCAGAAAAAAAAAAAAAAAAAAGGTGAGACAAAACCTGCAGTCGCATGGTTGCTTACTCATAGTCGTGTATGTAAACAGAACGTTGCAGATTCTCCGCTGCAACTCGGGGCGTGTTCTGATGTTGGTGCAGGGTGAGCCACTGGCAGGAGGCAAGTTCTACTCTGTGCTGACCAAGAGTGGCCCAGGTGGCCCTGCTGTGACCAAGGCAAGCAGCTTTGGAGGCGTGTCCCTTCTGCATCGGGACTCCAGCCTCACGGAGGCACGCAATGCCGCCCTCAGGGCGGTTAAGGCCGGTTAGTGGTCCGTGCCGCTTATCAGGCACATTGTTTATTCATTCAGCTGCCCTCTTCACAGTGAAGTACTAAATCTTTTTAGACTGATGGCCTGTTTGTAGGGGAACAGTGCAACAGACACAGACAGGAAAGGACAGACGTGCGCTGCTCATACGTGTTGCTCTACTACGATACAGCTGACAGGTTCACCCTTCATGATGAGCTGCTGTTTCAGAGATCTGTTGCCATTCAATATCGTAGTGTTTTCATGAAAACTATAACAAAATTTGTTGCAACCAAAATCTGACATAACGTGTGAGGTCTCTTTTGTCTGTGGGGTCTCGAATTGGCGAGCGCCTTGCCATGCTCTTGGAGTGAACGGACACAGCAGACGCGGTCGGTACAAACCAATGAACAATACACATTTATTTTGGTGCAAACAACATTACAGGAGGTGTCAGCAACCCCACAGTCTAGTGTCAGCAACCCCACAGTCTAGTGAAGCCTCAGATTGATTTAGACTGTGGAAGCCTCCTACCTGTTTCTGTTCTTGGCATAATCACGGTTATTGTCTTCTGTGGCACATTTGGACATTAAAGGCATTGAGATGAATGAATTGATCAGCAACTAGCAGCTGTGGCTCACTTCATTATTAATCACTGCTGCAATCGAACTTCATTATAACAAAGCTGGATCTTACGCAGAAATAAGTTAGTTACATCCAAAACTTTGTTATAAATGTATATTTCTAATACTGTCTATTGCAAGACTATTCATTTATTTCATTATATCCGGGTTCATTATAGCAAGGTTTTAGTGTTATGTAGGGAGTGGTTATTATAAGTAAGAATAAAGGCAGTTCTATTTTTTGCCGCCATAGTCGGAGAATTGGTTAGCAATACCAGAATCGGCGTAAGGAAATAAAAGAATAAGGCAAGAGCGAAGTATTAGATATGCGATAATTGGCTGATACGGGTGGCAGATGTGCAGGCAACACTCCTGTGTGTTGCTTGCAATATGGTGCAAAGAGTGCTGATTGGTTGTAATTTTTGTATTTTCCCTCTCCCTCCTCAGACTCGTTCAATGTGAGCTCGCTACCGACGGTGGTGCAGGCGCCACCGCCTGTAGCGACCTCACCCACCGAGGTGCCGTCACTGTCGGCTGCACCAGAGCCGGCAGCACCCACTGGGCCACAGGTCGGCGAAGAAGCGAGTCCCGTGGCTGCTGTCGCAGCACCCCCACCACCACATGTTGCAACCACTGCTCCGCATGCACCTAGGCCACAGCTTTACGTGGCACAGGTGAGCAGCCTCAGGAGGTGGGGGAGCATGACTTGACCAAGTGTGCTGATGGCCTGGTTTGCTTCTTTGTCCGCTTGTATGTACTACCGCGGGCAACTCAAAAGGTGTAAAGCCAAATGTGTGGGCCGATAGGGCAATCGAATCTGGCTGTAGCTCCAACTTATAAAGTTACAAAAGTTAGACGGGGAAAAGGTGCTGTCATCCAACTTTCCCTACTTGCGAACTAGCCAGCATTGGCACCCTTGTTCAGCACAATTGGAGATCTCTAGCATTGGAGTACCAACTAGCCGACATAAACAACTTTGTTCAGCACAATCAGCCACATTTCTATGCATGAGCTATTGTGAACCACAACTAGAGCACCACTAACTTTGCCACTAAAGTAGCTCTTGCTGTCACGCGGTGTTGCCAAAAAGTGCCCCAACTTGCGTGGTCAATGCTATGTTCGAAGCACAATGACGTGCGTGTCCAAGAGAGCCCAACACCATGGTTCACTACATTCGCCGCCGCTATCCACAGAGCTCTATGCTATGTGATGCTGCCTTCCGGAAAAATCACTGGCTGTGCCGAAACTTATACTCTAGTGATAAAACTGCATGCTACATTGGAATAGTACATGTAAAATTGTGTGAAAGTTTGATTTTGGCAGCGTGGAAAGCTGTTGATTATACATGATCGGTGCTCCAAAAAAGTGGGCTTGGATGAGTACTTTTAATAATATTACCCTCACATCAATTTTTGTTGTTTAAATATGCTCCGAGTATAGTAAATTCAGGGGTGGAAGTGCTACGACATTCTGCGCCATTCTGACCTGCTGCGCTAAGTGGCGCCTAAACGGTAATTTGCGTGTGCAACGCGAAATTTAGTCGAGTTTTATCATCAACCGAGCAACACGCGTGGGCTATACAAAGGGCGCAACCGCGTCCATATCAAATTAGTTCGGTGATGTCGTATTTAGGTTCATGCATGAATTTTGTAAAGGTGGTGTTTGTGTGCATATCTCATTATGCGACTCAATATATGTTTTAACAGCAAAGCTGTTAGCCAAACCATATAAACTTAAAAAAATAAGTCAGTTTCACTGGTGAAGTGATGACGGTAATAGCAAAAATTTGTAATGGTAATGGTAATACAGCACGCACTTTCTATTTTTGCTACCGCACCATTAGGCGTGTAACGCTGCCTTGCGCAATTCGCTTCCGAATGACTGGGAACAGTCTAGATAATCTTAGAACCTTCCGATGAGATCAAGCGCACAACGCGTACATTAGAGTTCGTTCTGGAACTTACGCAGCCGCTAGCGATAACGCGGGAATTTTCGATGGCACAAATATAAATGCCGATGCACTTTGCTGCTTGGCAGATTATCGATGGCCGACGCTCTGGTTTGCAGCTATCAGTCTACAGTTTGTAATGCTTGTAGAGTGACGTTTTGTTTTCCGGGAACAGGTTAGCCCAAATAAGGGTCACTAATGACAACAGCGGCTGCTGCCTTCGTCAACCTTCGTGACAATACGAAGGTTGAAAGCTAACGCTTTTAAATCCGACATCCCGACACTCTGCAAAATGCTGGTGTAAAAAAGGACATACGGCCGCTCCTGGGAGAAATGCTCTTATCGCACAATCTTTCCGGGGAGAGGGCACCACATAGAACAGTTTAGGAGCCGCCAGCTGATGCTTGCTGATAGTGCTCCCCCCAGCTTATCGCAACCACTCCCTTAAATCAAAGTTCACCTCTGCTGCTTGAGTGACCCCCCCCCCCTTTCCTCTGCGTATTTTTTCATGCTCGTTCAAGATGGGCAGTGCGTTTTCTTTCTGCTTGAACATTGGACGGCAGGCCTAACACGCTGTGAGGTAGTATCGCGTGGAAGCGATGGAGATCTGCGGCCTCATTTAATCTCTGCTGCGCTCAGCGCTCACCACCCCAACTTGCATAATATTATGTGCAGGTAGATTGTATGATGCGCGGGAAATGTTACCAACTTGTAGTTTACGCGGAACATGGCGGCGACAGTGAAAACCCGTCGAGTGCCCATGTAGTTCCTATCCTAATAAAAAAGAAAAACGACTTAATTGCTTAGCAATGGCGTGGCGAGCCCATCTAAATTTTTTTGCGGTTCTCGCGTCGGTTGTGGCACTTGAATGACCGGAACAAAAGTTTTTTTACATTTGTTCTTATAGAGCCCTATTGGTTTAGTATGAAGATAAGTTTTATTATATTAGTTCATCTCTAGTCTTGAGTTGCTGTTCATGTTATATGCGGTGTCCTAATCACACATTGAACATTGCAACATTTTAACATTGAATTTTTTTTATCTGTCTGAGTAGCTGTTCAGAGTGCCGTTTTTGTTTTATCTTTGCGTTGCTGTGCTTTCAACTTTATTGTTGTAAGGTTTAATATACGTATATATATATGAGATCTTGCCGTGGGCAGGTTCCTGCCCACGGCAAGTTATTTTTTCACCCACTTTTCTTTCTTCCTATTTACAATACATTGGTTCTAATACCTTCCCCCATACTTTCCTTGGTATTATTGTCTGTTAGATCTCATTAATATTGTGTCAAAACACACGGAAAAAGAAGCCCTTAAGTATACACTTCTTTCCCTTATATGTATATATATATATATATATATATATATATATATATATATATATATATATATATATATATAGTGGGAGTAATAATTCAATGGGCCATTTAGTCTTTGTGAAGGTATGGGATATAGCACAACGGGAGCGTTGTCAACAAGGATAAATATATTTATTTCCCAACAGTTTTGGGAGGGGTCCTCCCTTCATCAGGGGATGAGTTATCCCCTGACGAAGGGAGGACCCCTCCCGAAACTGGTGGGAAATAAATATATTTAACATGGTTGACAACGCTCCCGTTGTGCCATATCCCATACCTATATATATATATATATATATATATATATATATATATATATATATTTGGGTAAGTCTGGTCACTTGATCAGCATTTAATGCTTAGTAAAAACCACTGAATTTTTTATGTTGATGAAAAAGCAAATAGAAAATGAAAATTCTAATTAACAGTGATGTCTGACCCAAGAAATCTGTCCCAAAACTAAATTTTGATACTCCAAAACAAGCCTTTTGGGGCTCAAGAGCTGCTCCAAAACGCCCCTTTCACTTCTCCAAAGCTGCTCCGAAAGACTGAAGCCCGCTTCCACCCTGTAAATTTTAAAATTTTGTGTATTCACTGATTAACACTTTCATCCTACTCTAGTTGGTTCCACGTCACATAAAGCCAAAAAGACAAGCCAAAAAGAATGGCATTCGCACATGTCTCGTTCGAATATTAATAAATATTTTACAGGTTAGCTGGGTCAAGACAAACAGGCTCATTTATCTATTAATATGTGGTATATAGTGTTCGAACTATGCGATTAGAAATTATTCCACCAGATGACTCCTTTCTTTGAATTCACTTCGAGCCTAAAATTTACTGTTCATGCATCCACAGTGATATCCCTCTAACAGACAGCGTCTCTTGACAGCTTCCATGGGGTGCTGCACCTAGGGAAGCGGGTGCTCTGTCCTTGCCACCTATGTGGCCATTGGCAGGACCATCGGTGCTGGAGGCATCATCCTTGACTCCAACGGGCCTGCTGCTCAACCCTCAGGCTGGTAGGTGCTTTTTTGGCTTTGGGCCAAGGCTTTTTTCTTTTTTTTTGCATCACTGGAATTGCAAAAAAAGATGTTTGACCTTGCTGACTGAAAGCTGTTTGAAAGATCCTGTGCAAGTTTTGGGGACAGGTGCGCATTGTGCATTTTTGCTGCAAGGCTACATAGCACAAATATGCGTTGCGAGAGGTGGCACGAGTGGAGTGAGAAGTGCGTGTCGTTGGGTGCGTGTCTCAGGCGCTGTGCGCGGTGGATGGCAGAGGAACAAGGCAACACTAGTGTTGAGTGAACAGCAAGGGGACAAGCGTGTGTGTGCGGACTGCTGCACCTTCTGTAGGGACTACATGTTTCATATCTGCTGCAGTTGCTGGTGTGCCGCTGGTATCGCCAGACATGGCAGGTGGGCTGGTCCAAGGAGTGCGGCCTCGAGGTGGGCCGGGCCCCTTGGGCGGTGGCGGTCTGTTGCTGAGCCCGCTGGCTCCTCCACGGGGGCCCGTCCCAGCCCACCCACACCATCACCAACACCATCACCACCACCACCACCCGCACCAACAGCAGCCGCCGCAGCAGCTGGTGTACCTGCCTTGCGTACAACCACCGACCAGTCTGGAGGCTCGCAAGCCTGGCCTCCTGGACACTCAGGTGGGTGGCACACACCGTTTGTTCTTGGGGGCAAGGCCCTGTGGAATTGAGGCTGAAATTGAAAGAAACTTGCTCATTGAAGGTTTAGAAGATCGTTTCAGTAACACCTTTTTAAACAAACTGTGGCTGTTACTGGTCGGCCTGGTATTTATTGGGATAGCAATTATACAGTGAAACCTCATTAAACTGTACCCCCGTAAACAGTAGTTTAGTTTTAAAAGTAGTGAAGTCAAATCCCCGACTCGGCGGCCATTGAACATAATGCATTTTGTATCCGCATAAGCAGTACCAGCTTATCGCGTATGTATCGGTTAATAAGTAGTTTTTTTCAATTTTCGTTGCGCACTCGCCGCGGCACGTCGTCCCCCACTGGGCATCCCAACAGAACAGCAAGCCCCAGAAATCGAAACACGCCTCGCTTATTTGTGTTGATGATGATGGCGGCTGTGTTGGTGAGCGCCATCTCTTGGATTTTTCTGCAACAAGAAGCACTCGGCCGGCTAGGCTTCTGGTGTTGTCCACGCAATGGCAGTTTGCACAAACACGCAAACACGGTGTGCGCTTGCTTTGCTTTCATTGTTCCTTTGGCGCCGTGCATAGGTGTTCTCTCGTTGATTCGTTCCGTACAGCTCTCGCGTCGTTTTTCACCTGTTGTGTATGTGTGCTTGTGCTGCTTCGTACTTGGGTCATGCCGAAGCTGGGACAAAAGCATCGAGTGCTGAAAATAGAGGAGAAATTGGACATAATTCGTGCTATTGAAAGGGGCACGAAAAAATCTGCGCTGGCACGCAAAAAGGACCTGCCGTTAACCACGGTGTGGGATTTGGAATTCCAGAGAGAAGTTGCTCGGCAGTGCTGCTGCAACTGCGAAAAGGTGCCGGCTACGCGGTTCGGCATTTTTGGATGTAGAGGAGGCGCTGGTGAAGTGGCTAAAAGCTGCACGGTCAAAAAATCTGCCTATCAGCGGACCCCTGCTCGTGGAGAAGGCCCTGGTTTTTGCCTCGCAGCTCAACCATGACAACTTCGTGTGCAGCAATGGCTGGCTGGTCAGATTTAAGGCGAGGCACGGCATTACCACGAGGACTGTTTCGGGAGAAGGTGCTGCTGCTGACGTGGATGGTGCGGAGCAGTGGCAAAATAGTCAGCTGAAGAACATCTTGGAAGACTACGCACCTGATGACATCTTTAATATGGATGAATCGGCGCTATTCTTTAAGCTGCTACCAGACAAAACGCTCGCGTTCAAAGGCGAGACGTGCACCGGCGGCAAGCATGCAAAAGACAGAATATCAGGGGAGCTTTGCGTAAACACAACTGGAACCGACAAAACTCCGCTCCTCGTGATTGGAAAGTCGGCAAGCCTAGATGTTTCAAAGGCGCCTGGTTGCCATCAGGGGTCATCTATCGCAGCAACACCAAAGCATGGATGACAGCAAAACTCTTTGAGGAGTACGTGCGCCTCATCGATCGTCATTTTGCTGCTAAGAACAGAAGAGTTGTTATTATTTTAGACAACATTTCGGCGCACGTTGCCCTGGACAACCTGACGGCTGTGAAGTTGGCGTTTCTGCCACCAAACACAACAGCGATTGCCCAGCTTTTGGAGCAAGGCATCATTCGAGCTGTAAAACAGCTCTACAAGAAGAATCTGCTGCGCAGATTTCTTCTCGCCATTGAATGTGGCAAATTATTCTCCATCGACCTGATTCGCGCGATTCACCTGCTCGAATACTCGTGGCGGCAGGTTGAAGCAACGACAGTTCAAAATTGCTTCAAGCGTCCTGGCTTCAGTGTGTGTGCGGGCGACGCAGATGACACCAGTGACACCACCGACCAGACTTCGGACATCGTAGACGAAGCTTGCAAAACTCTGCTAGCTGAAGTGCTGGAGCGGCAGGGTGTTACGGAAGGCATTTCCTTCCCCGACTTCAGAGACGCAGAGACACAGTTGAAAGTATCGTCTGGGGAGTACTGCTGTAAAAGGGACTGCAGCTTTTCAGAGTGGTAGTTTGCAACGACGCTGAGGTCAACAGCTGCACTTTCACCGCACAGTTTTTTCAAACTGAGGTCAGAGCGCTTCTTGAAGTTTCTAAGCCAGCCGTCACTGACCTTAAATCCTTCAATGTTCATTTGAAGCGCCATCATCTCAGCTTTCTGTTTGAGGAGGCCCCCGGAGACGGAAACCTTGCTGGCCACTGTCGACTTCAGCCATATGAGTAGGGCCTCCTCGAGCTTTAGGTGGGTACCTTGGCTGACATTTTTCTGACAACATCCAGTGGACTTTTCCGCCGCCTCCAAAATGTTCCGCTTGTTCTTGATGTAGTCCGAAAGAGTCTATTTGGAAATGTGGAACTCCTTTGCAACGTCTGCCCGCGATCGGCCACTTCCAACAAGCTTGATGATGGCAGCTTTTCTCGCCATCGACATGGTGACATACCGTATTTACTCGATTCTACCGCGCCCTCGATTGTAACGCGCACCCGGTTTCCACGACAAAAAAAAAAAAAAGTAAGGCATCGATTGCAACACGCACCCATTTTTCTCGTTGGCCCGCACGATCACACCACTCGGGAAAATGACTCCATTCGAGAGCGTCTTCCGTTTAAATATGAGGTACGGGGGAAGCTTGTGCCTATCTGACGTGCAACGGAGCATTGCCGTCACTCTAGTTTTACTGTGGCCCGATGTCCGCTCGCGAACTTGCTTCACCCCCTTCTTCTCGACGGTTGTGGTGCCAGGCACGTCGAAGTAAAGAGGCGTCTGATTGGCATTCCCGATTTGCCCAAGCAGGTAGCCGTTGTTGTGCCGCAAGTTTAGGACGAACCTTTGAAAACTGTGAAGCTTTTCTTCGTACTCCTCCGGCAACTTTTGGCATATGCCCGTTCGCCTTCAGAGAGAAAAGCCTTTCCTCTTCATAAAATTAGTTAGCGAGCACCTGCTCGCTTTAAACTGGCTCCGCATTAGCTCTTTTTCTATGGCTAACTGCATAGCCTGTACTTGGTGCAGTTCTGTCGTCACGGGCCGCTGTGCTGCTCACTGCTCAATCACATACTCGTCGAGCAGCTCTTCAATTTGCGGAAACCGACCCTGCTGTGGTCCACTGAAGCCTTTGCGTGAATCTTTGCTGTCGACAATATTCTGCTTTTGTTTTCGCCAGTCCCGCATGCACATTTCGGGAACTTTGAACGACTGCGATGCGGCCTGATTTCGGTCCGTTTTGGCACACGTGATGACTTTTCTTTTAAAAGCGGCATCGTGGTGCACTCGTCGAGTTTTTGGAGTCGGCCCTTCCATGCCGTCGATGCTAATGCACTACAAGATGACGAACTCCTCAGCACACGTACGAAGTGGGAAACACATATGCAGAAATGGCCGACGCACGTAGGGGGCGGCCATTTTGGAAATGCCGATGGCAATAGAATAACCGTATTCATTTTTTTTTCGTACTCGATTCTAACGCGCATGCGATTTATGAACTCGTTTAACCGGAAAAAAGGTGCGCGTTAGATTCGAGTAATTACGGTACTTGCCGCGCTTCATCGGAGCTCTCGAGGCCGACGACAACATCGTCGATCCCTTATCCATTATGAATGAGCGCAGTTAGCTAGGTAACACACGCGGAACACATGGCGCACGCACATGCGAACAGTCAGTCGATGCGTTCCTGTCAATCCAACGATCACAGCAGAGAAGAAAAAACATTTTTTTCGGCAGTGATGCTGATGCGGAAATAGCCTCGATCCAGCAGTTCGAGGTAGCCACCCTAGCGGAGCTAGCGGCTGCACGCACGGCCAGCACCGGTTCGAGGCTACTGGAGAAAAAAAAAGTAAACAAACAAGATGGCGGTGGCGCGAAAAAATGCTGGCAGTCTGCTCGACTGACACTTGGAAAGTCCGAAATATCGAACAGCCCGTCCTCAAGTGTTCAAAATTTCAAGCCGCGAAATACGTTGAACTTATAGGGTATGTCCTGGTGCCGGGTAAATGTCCGAATTATCAAGCATGTCCGAAAAATTGGGCGTCCGAAAAATCGGTTGTCGACTGTATTCAGACTCTGTTCGACTGACCGGATGCGTTGCCGTACACCATGACACGCTGACAGCGACGTTACAATACCTTTGCTTTGTTGCCAGCACTGATATGCTGCACTAGCTATGGATGGACGTCGTGCCAGTGTCAAAATGCACGCAGAAATTGCAATTGCGGATCTCAAAGGCTATGTTTGGCGACACATTCTTTTGGTTTTAGCCAGTCGAGCGGCCAAGCCAAGCCACCTAAGGAGTCTGTTCGCTGTGGCGTTTAGCGTTTGTGTTAGCGTGTCAGGGGTGTCAGTCAGTTGCTTCTGCGACTAGGCTTGGTTCGTCTCGTGCTCTGTGCTTTCGCTCTCTTGTGTGTTCCATGGCGTGCTAAAATGGCTCCGACACCACCCGTGTCTGCACCATTGGGAGTGAAAAAACGCAGCCAACGTGGTAGCTACAAGACGCTCACGATGGTGAAGAAAGCGGAGATAATTCGCCAGGTAGAAGGGGGCCGACCTCAGTCTGAAGTTGCTCGGGAATTTTCAATTTTCAAGCAAACCGTCTCGGACTACCTCAAACAGAAGGCTAACCCCCGTATCCACAAACGCTCCTCGACTCGACTTTCACCCTTCACTTGACCGAGTTGAGCACTGCGCCACAGCTCGGCTCAAAATGCCGCTGCGCTACTCAAGAATCGCAACAGATTATCGCTGATATGCACTGACTTGCCGTGCCTAAAGACGGCGCTCCCATTGGCTTTATCAAGTGAAGGTGAAGCGTTAAGTGAAGGGACGTTTTAGAGTACGGGGGTTAGACCCTGGAGGCAGCTGAGAAAGCATCTGCGGGTACGCAGAAAAATTTCTGGGATGTCAGCCACCCGCAGCTTAAAATGGCGCTGAACATGTGGTTGAGTGCCACAGTGGCTAGGAAAGTGCCCGTGTCTGGCGATCCACTGAGACAGAAAGCAGAGAGGCTTTCCTTGCGCATCGGTATTACTGGCTGCAAGTTCAGTGACAGCTGGTGGTGCAACTTTATGAAAAGGTACGACCTGGTCTTCAAGCGAATGTGCTGTGAGAGTGGTTCCGTCCACCAAATGCTCATGACCAACTACCGCACCGGCAAGCTGTGCGCATGGCTGCACTGGTATCCACCAGAAAACATCTGTAATTGTGACGCGACTGTACTTTTCTATAAAATGTTGCCCAACAAGACGCTAGCTTTGTATGGCGAACCCTGTCATGGGGAAAAGCATAGCAAGAAGCGACTGACAGTTGTTGTGGGAGGCAACATGACGTGGACAGAGAAACTTTTGCTCCTTGTCATAGGGAAATCAAAGAATCCAAGATGCTTTAAAGGTGTCAAATCACTTTCTGTGTGGTATGAAGCAAATTCGAAGGCGTGGATTACGCAAAACCTCTCGGCATCTTCGCAAGCTCAACTGGCGGTATGAACAGCCAAATCGCAAGGTGCTGATGTTTGTCGACAACTGCGGTGCCCATGGCATATCTACAACTTGAAGGCTATCATAGTGGAGTTCTTGCTGCTTAACATGACAAGCGTATTGCAGCCCATAGACCAGGGCGTGATCCAAAACTTGAAAGTTCATTACCGGTCACGCCTCCTCAATCGTATGCTCTTATGTGTTGACAGTAACAAAAACTATGTCGTGGATGTTCTGACGGCCATTAGCATGTTGTCTGATGCCTGGAAGTCAGTGAGGAAACAATCCACAACTACTTCCACCACGCAGGATTTATGACTGGGATTGAGGAGGACAGTGCCACAGGCCAGTACCCCACGGTTGAGAGTCCACCTACTGCAGCAGCAGATATTTTGGATGACCTCCGTGCTAGTGGGGTCGATGTGGGGGCTAGTACATATGAAGAGTTCGCCAACTTTGACAGTGCCGTCTTGCCTTGCGCAGAGCTGGACGATGACGAGATCGTCCGACAGGTCTGCGAGCCGGCACTGGCGGGCAGTGACTCTGACAATGACGCGCTGACCGCACCACAGCCATCAAATGGGGACTTAGCGCAGGCCATATCGATGCTGTTGTCTGTCTACAGCAACGGCCAGACACTCTCAGAGGTACAGGCCGACGTGGTCGCGCTTAAGCGTGTGTGTGTGCAGACGCACATAGACAGTTTTTTCCGGTGATCAGGCCAATAAAAGTGCTTTTTTTCGGACACCCGATTATTCCGACTTTTCGGCAGTTCCCGTCGTGTTTTAATAATTGGTCGGCGACTGTATTCGATTGATCTTTCCAGGGTTTCGGGAGCTGCTTCAGATCGACCAGGGAGATGGAAACGGTACTTGCTCAGCAGTGATCACTGCGCTGTCCTTGGCTTGTTTAGAAGTCACAACTGTGATCATAATGCACCAGGGTGCCTCCTTTTTCTTTATTCTATGTAAGCGACGCATTACACGTGTCACCACTGCTTTGCGCACGCTGTGCCGGGTTGTCTAGATCGTCCTGTATTGAATTGAATGAATTGTGGGGTTTAACGTCCCAAAACCACCATTTGATTATGAGAGACGCCGTAGTGGAAGGCTCTGGAAATTTCGACCACCTGGGGTTCTTTAACGTGCATCCAAATCTGAGCACACGGGCTTACAACATTTCCGCCTCCATCAGAAATGCAGCTGCCGCAGCCGGGATTCGAACCCGCGACCTGCTGGTCAGCAGCCGAGTACCTTAGCCACTAGACCACCGCGGTGGGGCAGATCGTCCTGTATTATTGTATATTGCTTGTTGAACTTGAGGACACAACGCAAACAGTACTTATTTTTTTAACTATTGCAGCCATTTGTAATGAAGCGGGAAATTTCGATGCCACATGTATAAATGCTGACGCAACCTAGCGCAGATCAGATTACTCGACGGCCGACGCTGTTATCGCCGCTATCAGTGTACATTGCCCGTACTTTGGCTTTTCGATTTCTGGGGACAAGTGTGTCTAATTAAGAGTTTCTCTTTAATGGCCCCGAGTGCCATCTTCTCCATTGTCATGACCACGTAACAGTATGCGCAGACTGAGCTGCACTTGCTTCTTTACTCACGAACTGTCGCACTGGTTGGGGCTGCTGCAGGAGCCACCAGGGTGCGAGGCAGTGACGGGGCAGCTGAGTTCGCTCACTCTGGTTGGGGGCGAGTCTGCAGAAGGGGCCGGTGGGGCGGGCCACCCCCCAGGGGGATTTCTCGTACAGGCGCCCCTGCAGCCGGGCTTCCTGGCATTGCCTGGGCATCCACCGCCAACCCAGCAGCAACATCAACAGCAGCAACAGCAGCAGCAACAGCAACAGCAGTCGCACGCAGCACCTACAGTCTCTGTCCAGGTATCTTTTCTGCTCCCACACCTTAGACAGAAGTTTGGCACAGTTTTGGCATGCCATTAACCCTATGGCTACTAATGGCCCCATGTTCCACTTCTGCCTTGAATTCGTTATAATTATAGTGTATAATAATGAACACTGTAGAAGTGTTTATAGGGAAGTTCTACCGTGTTCACTCGAATCTAGGCAACCCCCAAAAGTCCGAAGCACAAAAAGAAAAACTTACCGCAAATGTAGACCGACCAAACGAAACAGCAGAGACAGCGTTAAAAAGAGAAAACATTTATTGATCATGAAGATGAAACAAAGCAGTTGGTTCATGATGCAAATAACTCAAGAAACATACAGCCACTAGTCCTGTTGTGTGTGTCTCTTGGTTGTGTTTTCTTCTTTTTTTTTTTCTGCTTCAACCTATTTGCATTATTAAGATGCTGTGCTTGTCCATGCCGTGCTCATTCCGAGTTGTCACTGTCTTCAAACAGTGCGCAATCCTAGGTGCCATCAAGTGCATTAGATATGCTGCACTTCTTAAAAAAGCGCACAGTCAAAGTTTTTGGGATACCGTCCCACGCTGCAGCCCCTCCAGTGACATACATTTTTTTCGTTCACTCGTTCAGAACAACTTTCCTTTTATAAGCGGCACATTAATAAAACACCGCCTGTTCAGTGCTATTGAGCTACGTCACACTCAAACCACTCAAAGCGCGACTCAAAATGAGGAAATGGCTCGTCTAAACACATGCCACAAAGTTCAAAATGGTGGCCTTACATGTGTACTTAAGGTATTGGCTACTAATGGCTACAGTATCGTCTATATGGCAACACCTAATGAAAAATGGCGCATTTCTCAATCTAAGTCTACCATAAAGTTCGATACAAAGAAATTTTTAAAAATTATCCCAGATTTGAATAAATACAGTATTTATCATACCGTATTTACTCGCATAATCCTCGCACTTTTTTTGGCGGTAAACTGATGCAAAGTTGGGGGGTGCGAGAATTACACGGGAAAAACTTTCCACGAAAACGTACACAGCGATAAAGAAAACGAAGTGGCCGCAAATCGGGATTCTCTCACCAGCAACTAACAGCAAGCTTTGAGAAGTATTAATTAAAACTTACCTCGACAATAAAAGCACAGGTTCAACACAATTCAAGATTTGAGACACAAAAAGTGCAAGCAAATAGTCGAGAATTAGAATACCATACACAAAGCTTGTGGGCGTTGCGGGCATGGCAGTAGCGTTCGTTGCTCAACAGGAGTCCTCAAAAGGTAAGCATAGGATGTCAGTATTGGGCTGATAACTATTTAACAGAATAGTCCGCAGTTTCCATCTGAAGAAATAAAGTTCACTATCAATTCCAGTTTTAGGCACACGGCAGGCCCAACGCGTCTTGGTGGCTTTCAGCTGCCGTCACCAATAGCGAACACAAAACTCGTATGCTCCGAAAGGCCTACCGACGGCCCTGTTGCCGTTGTTTAGATCATGATCTATCCCTTTCAACTTGAAAGCAGCCGTGTAGCTTCAGTATCGCCCCGTAACGTGACCAGATTACCGACACAACATACAAAGCACGCCGCAACGCACACTTGCCACTTTGGCTTGGCTTGGGCTGGATTGAATCTCCGTGCAATAATAGTACGCTTGATGCTTAAGAGATGGTGCCAGATAGTGTGCGCTATCATCATCAGTGGCTGGAACGAGCAGACGACATTATTGCGGCAGTTTTCGGGGGTGCGATAATTACTCTAAGGAAAAAAGAAATCTTATTTTTGCTGGGCGATGTGGGGGGCGCGAGAATTATGCGAGTGCGAGGATTACGGCTAGTAAATATGTATTAAGCCCTACGTTTCATTTTGCTGCCAACACTGCCCAGCCAGTGATTCTATTTTCTGTAGAAAAGAGCTTGAAGGGTGCAGACGTATAGAACTAGCACTGTGTTTAAGAGCTCTGCTCCACGGCTTGTCCCAAATTTGTCGTGCAGTTTTGAGATGGGAAAATTCACAGTTGAAATGATTGAACTGCCCCTGTAGGTGCTCAAACGAGGCGGTTTACGTGACGCATGCTTCTGTTCTCTTCTTTCCAGGGTCCCATTTATTATGTACAGCCAGCGCCGCTTACAACATGCGGGCGCAACTACGTTTCCTCTGTGCCTGAAGCTCATGCAAATCCACAGTGTGAGTACACATGCGTTTCCTGCCGAAATTTGGGCGCCATAGTCATCATGGCATTTGCTTGAATTGCCGTCCACTTTTTCTCCTGATGGGATATACTAAAGTTGATGTGGCTAGTAGAATTGAAAGTGCGAATGACGATGGTTGAACTGTCCACATGGTCGGCTATGCAGTAGCAGATGCAGAAAAGTTTGCACAGCAGGTTATAGAAAGAGTGCTTTCAGGTAGCAATTAGATAACCTTGGTTTGTGCAGACTCATCGCAACCCATTTGATTTTGATTGGCACTGGTGGGTTCTCTTTCCACACTTGCTGTAGGTGTGGAAAGTGGCAGCTTCGTGGCAGCGCTTTCTAATGGGCAGATTGGATAAGCACTAGTTTACTATGCATTGGGTGCACATTGAAGGGACCCTGGGGGTTAAAATTAACCGATAATCAGTTTGTGAGAATTGGCACAACCGGTTAAAGCACAAGACAGGGAGGACACAGCAGAGCACTCTTACTATGTCCTTCTTGTCTTGTGTGTCGTCCTGTTCAAAACGATCTTTTAAAACATGCATGATTTTCAACTCTCCTTCCTATGTACTTTTACCTATAATTGGTGTGGGATTTGGAACGTAAAGCATCAGAACTTGTTTTGATATTCCTGATCTAGTAGTGCAAAAGCCCACCAGGCAGAGGGCACTTCGTCAAACCTTCCTCTACCTTCAACATTGAAGCGCTCTGTGAAATCCATGCAGATATTTAGTGTAGCTTCATGCTGCAAATGAATGGATCAGAATTTTTTTTTCCCCCGTGTTCTTCTTTCCACTCCCAGTGGGCCTGGCAGCGGCAGGCCCCCAGGCAGGTGCGCTAATTGCTGGCAGCCCGGTCGGGGGAGGATCCTATCCAGTGTGGGGCTACTATGCACCCCCCATGGCTGGCCTTAGCAATGGTGCTGCCGAAGCGGGGCCCCCTCCCCCCACGGCCTTTGTGGGAACCTTTGCGGCTCCCCTGACGGGGCAGGGTGAGCCCTACCACCAGCACCACCACCACCATGCGCCGCCACAATCTGCCGCCCCCCCTCAGTCCCAGCACCAGCAACTGGTGCCCATGTATCTTGTGGCCACCAGCCCACCGGCTTTGCCACCTCACCAGCAACCACCCCCACCTGCCAGGTGCGGCCATTCTTTGCATCTTTGTCCTTGCAAGAGTAGATGCCTGATAGCATATTCATGGTGAATTCTATTGGCGGATTTGGAGGGGCCTACGAACTTTGTGCAGGAGCCCTCTACCCTGGCAGAGGGGAACCGAAGGAGATCCTCCAATGGAACACAGGTGCCCCCGCCAGAGCAAATGGGAGAGGATGCTAGAGAACATGCACTTCGAGAAGCGATCTGCACTTTTTGCGTTTCGTGCCGTTTTCACCTCAGGCACGCGCGGAAAGAACGGGTGTGCTCAACAGCCTGTTGTGTCAGTTACGTGGTACGCCATGCTTTGCAACTTCAGGTCGAATTCGTTGTTTTTCGCTGAGTTAAAAGAGCTGCTTTGGGGAATGGTATGGTGATAGAGCTGCTCTGGATCTGCTAATACAACATGCAGGGAGCACTCTCAATCTGCCAATAGAACAGACTTGCAGAAAAACTGCTACCGGAAGCCCTCCAAATATGCCAATGGAATTCACCATCGGTAAAACCTTGATGACGTGAGTCTTGCAGGCCTGCTAAGAATATTTATATCACATGAAATTCAAATCACCATAAAACATAAAAATTGGTATGTGACAAAAGAAAGCTAAAAAAGGGTATTTATTTATTTATTGTTTCTCAGGTTTGCAGCAACGTGATGAACAGCTCTGAATGATCGCCAGTAAATTTTTTAGACTTCAACGGTCATACTTGTACTCGTAAATATAAGGGACATTCTATCAGATGTCGCGTTGTGAAAATGGCCTGCAGCTACGGTACTCCATTACATTTCAGGCCTTGGCCAGGACGACTGCAAAGTTTGTATTACGTTTAAATTTGTGCAAGCCAGGAGTGTAAAACAGGAGTGTAACTTGACTCGACAATCTTTACTTCAATTTTACATTCCATACAGTGTTGATACAGTGCATCACTGCTTTTGGCAAAAATGGTTTCCTCTTGTTTTCTTTTCTTTTTGTCTTTTTCCAAATCTCAGTAACTCTAGGCTTCTATAGCCGAACTGTAAATAAGTGAATTCACAGGTTTCGAGAACTGTATTGTTGCATACAGTTGAAACTCAATTTAACAGTGTGATGACCACACTCAAATTATTTTGTTTAAACTTTGGAGGCTCTCTAAATCAAGAAAGGGATGTTTCAGTACTTCGATATCTAAGATGTTAGTGTAGGAACATTCAAAAGCCGCCGCGGCATTGTGATAGTCGCCGACCCACTCTGTGTGGGTGAAAAGTCCACGAGAGAGGCCCATGGAGCCTCCCATGTCAAGCAGACATAGGAGCCTTGATGGTTCGGCAACACAAGCCTGGCAAACGGTCACGTGAAGCTGTGAGAGGTGGCAAGAATGAATGCAGTGATCGTCCAAGAAGTTCAAGCAAGAAAGTTGCGAGGAGACAATCAGCGTGTACTGTTGAGGAAACCATGAAATAACGAAAGCAACCTTCAACCATGAAATAACGAAAGCAACCTTCGCTACTCTGCCACTGCCACTTGGTGCAACATGTGAGAGTGCTGCTGACTGACGAATCCATTCTGTGCAGGGCCATGTCAAAATAAAACTAGGGCGGGCACTGTGGCTTATATATTTCAGCACCTTAGTGTTGATTATGCCCTTGGAGAAAAATCTTGTGTCAAAATTACAAAGAAATAGATACTTTTTTTACTAATTCATTCAAAGAAAAGCATTGCTCAGTCTGGTTTCGTGTCCAAGTTTTGTGAATCGGGTTGATGCCAACATTGAACTTAGAAGGTGTCTGCCATGGAATGTAAAATTGAAGCAAAGATTGTCAAATCAGCATCTTTGTAAAATCGTGTTTCATTAGATGAAGTTTTGACTACTGTTGAAATCCGCAATAATGAAATCGGGGAGGAAAGCAAATAATTTTACCCTATGGGAATTTAGTAGGCGTGATAATGCGGCAGAAAAGATGGGGAATTGACTAGAGACACATGTTATTGTGAAAAGTAGCTTACTTTTCCAAGCCTCTGCTTGTAGCAATTTCTTAGCTCTGGGCTTGTAATGTATAAAAGTGGGCTTTTGCCATGTCGTCATCATGCTCGTCGAAAAACGAGCGAATGGTGTTCAGGGCATCCAACACATTCCGCAGGGCCGTTCTTTTCTCCGCCTGTTTAGGTCTTGGATCACCAGAATCGCCCGCATCGCATCGCTACTGATGATGACGTCTTCAGATGCTTCGCATTTTTAGATGCAAAGCATTTTATGAGCGAGCTTGATCTAGTGGTGTTCGCACTCCTCTCCTACGCTCCCCCTACTTCACCTGCCAACGCCGAGGCAGGCAGCGCCTGCTAGTGAGTTTCTTTATTGAAAAAAAAAAAAAAAAACTGCTTGCACTGCACAACCCTTCACTGGCCACCCCGTATATATAGCCACTGGATCTTGTCCTCTAAGGCAGTGCTGGTGGCAGATTTCTCCTGTGCTTTGTTGAACAATAAAAATTTGCCGCGTGCATGTTAACTAAATGTGGACTGTGGGTCTGTGTCCAATGTCCAATGGGAGTCTTCCGTCTATCATTGCTCATTGGCAGTAACTGGCATGTTCCAGTAGGAAACACCGGTTCATTGCTGCGTGCTTTGCACAACCCCAGTTTTCTTTCCTGCACAATGCCGCGATGAGCACCAGCGTGAACGCCGCTGCCAGTGTAAGCCTTAGCGTCCGCTGTTTCGCATCTACGCATGGTTCCTTTTAGCGGGAGATCGTGTAATTTTTTTCCCGCCTTTTTCCACCTCAGTCATATCAGCAGCCTTACCTTCCAGTGTGATGGAGATCCGCTTTTTCGTTGGAGGCAGCATCTTTACGGGCAGACAAATCGGACCGTATGATCGCCACACAGAGTTCACGCCGCACCAAGCTCACACAGCGACTGCTATTGCGCCACGCACCCATGTGTGGCAGCAACGAACAGACAGACCCAAGTGAACGAAATTCCATGAAGATGTGGATTTGGCTACATACCGTATTTACTAGATTCTACCGCGCTCTCGATTGTAACGCGCACCCGGTTTCCACCACGAAAAAAAAAAAAAAAAAAAATAAGGCATCGATTGCAACGCGCACCCATTTTTCTCGTTGGCCCGCATGATCACACCACTCGGGAAAAAGACTCTTTTCGGGAGCGTCTTCCGTTTAAATATGAGGTACGGGGGAAGCTTGTGTCTATGTGGCGTGCAACGGAGCATTGCCGTCACTCTAGTTTTACCGTGGCCCGATGTCAGCACGCGAACTTGCTTCGCCCCCTTCTTCTCGACGGTTGTGGTGCCAGGCATGTCGAAGTAAAGAAGCGTCTGATCGGCATTCCCGATTTGCCCAAGCAGGGAGCTGCCGCAACTTTAGGACGAACCTCTGAAAACTGTGAAGCTTTTCTTCGTACTCCTCCGGCAACTTTTGGTATATGCCTGTTCGCTTTCGGAGGGAAAAGCCTTTCCTCTTCATAAAGTTAGTTAGCCAGGACCTGCTCTCTTTAAACTGGCTCGGCATTAGCCCTTTTTCTAAGGCTAACTACATAATCTGCACTTGGTGCAGTTCTCTCGTCACGGGCCGCTATGCCGCTCACTGTTCAATCACATACTCGCCGAGCAGCTCTTCAGTTTGCGGAAACCAACCCTGCTGTGGTCCACTGAAGCCTTTGCGTGAATCTTTGCTGTGAACAATATTCTGCTTTTGCTTCCGCCTGTCCCGCATGCACGTTTTGGGAACTCCGAACGACCGCGATGCAGCCCGATCTACGTCCGTTTCGGCACACGCGATGACTTTTCTTTTAAATGCGGCATCGGGGTGCACTCGTCGAGTTTTTGGAGTCGGCCCTTTCATGCCGTCGTTGCTAATGCTCTACAAGGTGACGAACTCCTCAGCACACGTACGAAGTGCCGCACATGGGAAACACATAGGCAGAAATGGGCAACGCGCCGTGCCGACGCACGTAGGGGGCGGCCATTTTGGAATGCGGATGGCAATAGAATGACCGTATTCATTTTTTTTCCGTACTCGATTCTAACGCACACGCGATCTATGAACTCGCTTAACCGGAAAAAAGGTGCGTGTTAGATTCGAGTAATTACGGTACGTATTCCGTGATTACGAGTCGGCATAACAAGCAGGTGTTTCCGCGTCAGCCCATTAAAATGTTAGCACATGCCCGCTGCATAGCTGCCTCAGATTCTTGTGGTTTGTTTTTTAAAAAAATGTAGTTGGTACAGCTAATAAATTCATTTTTGGTTGATACTCTTAGTAGTCACCGGTACCGACGAGTCAACCATCATCACTGGTGCCAGTTTTTTTTTTTTTTTTTTTTGTTAATCATGATTAGAGTGGCTGCTCAGGTGCGCTGGGGTAATAGTTTTGCACAATTTAAGTGTACTACAAATTCAGTTTTTGAATGAAAGTAATGTTATGAGAGTATGTTACTTGTGCGCTCCAATTTGAGTATTTGGAATACTTTTCGTAGTCGTGAGTTACAAAATGCGTTGACTCTTATGAGCGTTTGCTGCTGCTCTGAAAAACATTTCATTGCAGTGAAAATTTCGTTCCCCCAAGATTTCATTGACACGTGTTTCGACTGTAGCATCTTTTCAGTTAGCATGAATGGACAGGATTTGTAGTGATTGCGTTGAGAGCAGCAAAACTGGCCAATAAACACTGCTGTGCTGGCTGAAGGCATTTAATGATGCAAAGGGGTTCTATTTTGTTCTTGTGGTTGTTTGTGAACGAAGCGTGTAGCCTCCTGGTTTACTTATCTAATTGAAGCGAAGTCTGTTTAATAATGTCCTGTTGTCCGGCCACAACGTTCCTGTTTCTCAGCATTAGATTTGTGTGCATTGCCTCCTGTGCTCTGTGACGTGTAGTCCTGCACTTTGACTCCCTGTGTACTTGTTGCAGCCTTCCCCTGCGGTACCTGCGACCGCAGACGCCCCCGACCAGCTCAGCCCAAGCACAGCAGCAGCCCCTAGTGGGTTATGCCCTCTGCTCAGCTGGACCACCTGTTGGGCCACCCCAGCACCCACTGCCGCCTATGGTTACCGCCTTCCAGGTAATACTGTGAAAGTGAACTTATGGGCTCCATTGGCCAGTGTGCATGCTCATTTCAGAGGCGCGAGGCAGAGCACCAGCAAGTGCCAAATGGTGTGAGTGCCAGCTTGAGTGGTATGCACGCATACAGTAAAAATGTTTGTGTTGATAGGTCACCTCAATTTAATCTGAAATTTCATGCAATTTCACTGCCCATTTCAAATTTCCGCACTGTTCCAGGTAAGTTCCATCCTTGCCCCTTCAAATGTGAACCGTGGAAAAAGAAAAAAAATTCAAAATAAAAATATCTCTACGCATTGAAGTGAAGTGAAGCTTACCTTTCTTGCATTACTTTGAAATTAATTTGTGCTCCGAAATTCATGTATAATCTTCGCTACGACGTTATTTGCAAATATTCTGTATAGACTCGAACCCCGCTACAACGAAACTGACTGGGCGTGGAAAAAATTTTGTTAAAGCGAAAATTTCGTTGTAGTGAAATCGGTAAAAATATCGCTAATCTGAGCTAGCAAAACAAAGGAAAATTCATTCTCAAAATTCAAAAAATGTCCGCTGCTTTCCTATTCTTTCACAGCCGCGTCACGACGTGATTGTCACCCATACATAGCGAGGCCATAGTGAAAAGCACACTGAAACAACTCCTGAAAACCGCTTTCGTGGACGAACCAAACAGTTGCATTAACACGTTAACACCAGCAGTTATCCGCCGTCGAAAGTATCCGACAACGTTGAGAGGGAGACGGTATCATGGAGCGGCGACTTTTGCATTATTCTATGCCATTCTTATCATCTATCACTTGCAGCTCGCTGATTTTTTTGATAATGCGGACAAACAGCAGCTCTCATTAGTTACCACACTGGCCAAGCACAGACAAATGATAAGCATTGGAATCGGAAAAGGCGTCGTGCCGCGGTTGCACCTAGAAGCTGCGAGAAGGAAACCATGAACTGAGCGACTGAGCTTCAGCTTTGGATCGTCTGCGGCTCAAGAGCAAGCCATTGGCGAATAAAAAGCAGGGCAGCCTCATTGCCATCACTATCGAGCAATAGCGGCGCCCACGCTGGCTGAACAGCAGCGGTATAGCGGCAGTTTCTGGTGGTGTTAACGCATGTTTTAGACTTCGTTGACGCGTTTTCAGGCTCTGAAAATGTATTGAAATGTTGAAGATTGGGTTTACTGCATAGCAATAAGTATCTGAGCCTGGAATTGCATCGTAAAATTTCGTTGAAGCGGGACGATCGAAAAAAAAGTGTTCGTTGTCGTGACAATATTTATTCATTTACTCCTATGGACTGCTGTTGAGGAATCATGAATTTTTCGTTGTAGTGGAAATTTCGTTGAAGCGGCCTTCGTTGTAGCGGAGTTCAACTGTACTTTGAGTCAATTTATATGAAAAAACACAGTAATACTGTGTGAAGCCAAATTCGTCTTAGTTGGTGGGTATTCGGTGCAAAAAAGTATTGCATACGCTTGCCAGAAACATAGGATAAGATTAGTGATAATCTCAGGTGTTCTGATTTTTTTTTGGTCTGTACAGGAAATTTCGCTGCAACAAAATCCTGCGATAGCAAGCTGTTGTGCGTGCGCAGTCAATTTTATTGCAGGATTTGAGCCTAGTAGTCTTTCACCGCTAGGATGGTTGAGCAACAGAGCCAACAGTGCCATTCTGCATGCATATGCGCAGTCATTGGTGCCGTGTGTGGCGACACGTCCTGCTGTGGCAAGCAATGCGGCGGGAGCTAGCCGTGCCTCTCTGGTCGGTCCAGCATCGTTTGCTGTGGGCCTACCAGCCTGCGGCATGGCCAAAAGTGGCGCACCTTACCTAGGCATGGGAGTACCCACGCACCCTGGTGCAACAACACCGTACGGCGATGGTTCTCCAGGAGAAAGAGTGGCGTCCAGTGCAGATGCTTCGTCTATGGGTAATAATTGCCTCCCAATTTTCTTCATGTGATCTGCTCTAACAGACTGTTGCAAGCAATAGCACTGTGAAATGGTGTACAGAGCTTGGATATACGATTAACACTTTGCAGTCCAAAACTCCTCTATAGTTTCCAGTCGTGTTGGTCAGAAAATATTTGGCCAGTTTTGTGCGCAGCGAAAGAAAAGTCACAGCATATCCACAAAGTCATTGATGATAAGTGGGGCGAAGCGTCCGTCAGCCCGTCCGTGCTTCCGTCTGTCCGCGCGACCATCTGTCTGTTTTTCGTGCGTCCATCTGTCCGTCTGTCTGCTAGTCTGTCTGTCCGTCCGTCCATGCATCTCCCATCTCGCATCCCCTGTGGCACATACCCACTCTGGAGCCAGTATGTGCCTCCGGTGGCTACGTACTACTACATACATACAAAGGAAGGACAGACCCACGCAGAGCTTCCCCCAAAAAACTGCAACAAAAGCTCTTTGGTTTATTTTTGCAGGTCATTCTGCCTAAGTTTCGCAGAACTATTTGTGCAGTGGGTTAAATCCCAATATAACACCTTCAGCTGCATTATGTTACACATCAGCTATGGAGGTGCAAGAGGCTTGAAATGCAGTGTGCACATTTGTACATGCTTCCTGAGCAGAAAACTAGCACTTAATTTTAATCACTCCAAGGTGCTGTGTATTGCTGCAGAGGATCGTTTTGCTGGAGGCACTGCAATATTCAACGTTCATTCGATGTGCTGCATTCGAGTACTAAAAGAATCCACTTTAGCCTGGATGTTACGAGATTGACAAATTCTGGACGAGTCGTCGTCTGAAGATTGACAAAATCTAGTGCAGATAGGTTTTCTTTATTATGCAGTTTCAGCACGAAAATTTAGTGAACAAATACAAGGCGGCAATCTGCATGAAGGTACATGCACACTGGCGGAAAGCATGTCGTGACAGCGTCCTACCTGTCAACACCTCCGCTCACTAAGCAGCGGCACATTGTCTACCTTTCCGGTGCGAGACTCGCGGGACAAAAGTGGGCATTTCAAAAAGCGCACGCCTCCCAGCTCCCTGCTGGGTTGCGATTTCAAACCAAAAGCTGAAGAGGGAGGTGCAGGTGAGGACAACAATGCCTGGTTGCTATGATAACAGCCTCGTGTGAGGAGGAAAAGGAAAAGCAGCAGGTGCTGATAAGCGGTTTGCTTTAGCGCAAGTCGGTGGCAGCGGCGAAATATCTCTGGGAGCGATTCAGTTGATGGGAGAGAAGTGATGACACCATGCAGGAGAGAGAGAAAAGTGGCATCTTGTGAGTGGTCAGCGGCACGCAGGAAAGGGCCGTACCACCTGTGTGTTTGTACCTTGACGAGTCGTCGTCCGAAGATCTTTTGTCACCGTAGTCTTGTACACTTACAAGCAGCGCCTAATCTGATATCTCAGCCGTGGCGACACAGTTACGACACAGCTGTGCAAAAAGATCTTTAAAATCACAAAGCTACTCATTGTCTGGCCGTGCTTCATGCACGCGCAGTGAAACCACGAACACGCGCAAGGCGTCAAAAAGCAAGAGCGAATGGCACGGGTACCATGTAATATTCGGAAAAGCACTCTCCGTATGCAGCGCCAGCTTGAAGTGTAATAATTCGGAGCAAGGGTTTAACCTGTATATACCCCAAGATACCAAGCAAGCCCCCCACCCACCCACCCGCAAGAAAAGTCGAAATCGCGGGCAAACTGGGGTGGGAGGTGCTATTTGGAACAGCACCAGAATTCAAGATGGCAGCAAAATTTTCGTGCCAAAAGAAAAAAAATGCAGTGTAAATAATTAGAATTCTATTCAATGAATTTTATGTAGGCCCAGGATTTGTTGTAGCTTTTAAGGGGGGACATGGTACCTGAAGCTTTATTTTTAATTAAGGGGAGACGCGGGTCGAAAAATCGCGTTTTTTCCGGAAATTTTCACTTTTTTGTTTTCAGTCGTATTAGATTCTTTAAACATTCATGTTTACCAGAAATAAATTTCAATCGGTAATTCGTGTCAGAAGTTACTGAAAAATGCACTCAAGTAAGGCCCGGAGACCTAGAAAATCGCTGAAATCTGCCGAAATCGACGTTTTGCCGGCCCCGGTATCTCGAGGCAGCGGCACCGTGCGCCATTTGTAATCACTGAGGCGGTTAGAGTTGTCCATGCTCTCTCGAACACAGGCTCGAAAAGTCTCGTCCGGAAAGAAAAAAATACTATAAAAAATCCTTTTTTGAACGCCCCTGCGTGCCGTTTGAATCGCGCGGCGCATCACGTGGTGCCGTAGCGAGCGCGCCATTGGCTAGCGCAGTGCCCGCTTGTCCCATCGGCCCCGCTCTGCATCGCAAGCTGAACTTCGCAAGGATTTATTCAATTAGTTACGCGATGAATCCTGCCAGAAAGCAGGTGTACAAGGTGAAAAAGTACCGGACGATAAACAAGTATGTGGGAAAACGTCGTAAAGTGCGTTGTCAGACTGCGGCAAAGGTGAACGGCCCGGAGAGGTCTAGGCCTAACCCCAGCGTCGGCAACTATCGCAACAGTGACTTCGCCGGCGGCCTCGACGCTGCCGCAAACTTCGTCAGCGCCTCACAAAAAAAACTGGAGTTTTTTGAGAAGAACCAAAGGCATGCGCATGATGGCGTATCATCAGCAGTGCTGTGCGACATCGATGCGATGACGGCACTTGTGGGCGGAGCGGAGTGCCCGTCTTGCCGTGAACACAAACTTGTTGTTCACGAGGTGGCAGAACGGCGCAAAGGACTGTCGTCCTGTCTCGAGTTGCGGTGTGAGAACAGTGAGTGCGCGTCTGGTGTTCTCTCTTCGACACATACGTCGAGGCGTGTTGCCTCCGGCGAAGCCGCCGCAGCATCTGACGACTGCGCGGAGGTGGGGCACTACGGCAACGGCAGCTCGCGCGATAGCTTCGCGGCTAATGTGAAAGCTGTCGTAGCCTCGTGTGCCATAGGCATCGGACATGACCAGCTTTCGCGGTTTTGTGCGATTGTTGGACTAGCGAAGCCCATGCACCACAAAACCTTCCAGGCAATCAGCAAGAAGGTTCACGATGCTGCTATGAGGGCCGTGACCGAAAATTTGAACCAGGCAAGAGCCGTAACAAAGCAGGTGGTTGATAGTAGTGACGTGGCCGTAATGTATGATGGAACTTGGCAGAAACGGGGCCATAAAAGCCACAACGGAGTCGGCGCGGCTATCTCCTTGGACACCGGCCTGTGCTTAGATTTCGAAGTGCTGTCGAATTACTGCCACGCTTGCAGTCTACACAACGACATGGGCTCTGAAGAGGAAATCTGGCAGGCCTACCACAGACCTGTCTGTGAGAAGAACACCGACAGCTCCGCTCATGGCATGGAAGCTGAAGCAGCACTACGGATATGGGAGCGCACTTTGCTGTATGAGACTCCACTTCGCTTCGCAACATTTCTTAGTGATGGCGACAGCAAAGCATATAACGGAGTTTGTGATGCCAAGGTGTACGGTGCAGGTGCCATCTGCAAGGAGGACTGCACTAATCATGTTGCGAAGCGCCTAGGCACTGGCATACGCAAATTGCCGACACCACTGCCCAGAGGTGAGAAGCTCAAGCCTGCCACCATTGAAAAGCTGCAGACATATCAGATCGCCATCACGGGCAATAGAGGCAACCTACGGGACATGTACACTGCCATATGGGCGTCCTACTTTCACTCTTGCTCCACTGATGGTGCTGGCAGCCACAACTTCTGCCCACCAGGCCAAGAATCGTGGTGCAAGCACAAGCGTGCTGAAGCAATGGGCGAGCCTGCACCACAGCATACACCACTTCTGACAAAGGCACAGGGCCGGGCACTGCTGCCCATATACAAGCGCCTTTCTGACGAGAAGCTGCTGGCCCGATGCCTTCGAGGGAAAACTCAGAACGCTGCTGAGTCTCTCAACAGCAAGGTGTGGCTGCTGTGCCCAAAAACAAAGTTTGCTTCCCGAAGTGCTGTGGAGACTGCCACAGCCATTGCTGTGCTCTGGTATAACCGGGGCCATGCAAGCTTCGAGGTGGTCCTGGAGGAGCTTGGTGTTCTACCACCAGCAAGCTTGACCACCCTGGGGGACTACAGCGACAAGAGGCGCATTCAGAAGATGAATGCCCAACAGACTGCTGAGGCGAGGGCTCACCGCCGCACATCGGCCAAGAGAGCTCGCCTACAGGACTCCGCTCGGAAGGACCGCGAAGGAGTTACATACAGTGCGGGTGAATTCTAGTCACCGTGGCCAGCTCCTGGACATACTGCCTGTGCATTAGACACACTTTTGAGTGTTTGCAAGTGTGCCCTAATTAGTAAACATGTTTCAAACTTTCAAACGTGTTTTTCTCATTTTGAAATTTTTGGCCACGGTCACATTTCACTCACATAGTTTCATCCCCTTAAAATTGTCCTATTGTGATGAAACTTGGCACACACATTCTTCAAGGTGTGTAGAGTGCCGTTATCTATTCTGATTTATGATGCATAGCCATTATCAATAGAAACATACCAAGAAATGATACAACGAACCCTGAAAAAAAGAAGTTTGGCAGATCTGTTCATTTTGTGTAGTAACAGCTTTTTTTTTCTCGTAATTTTAACCTCTTAAATGCACACAGTAGTTCATGACAAGCATAATAAGCTATTACACAAACATCTACACAAAAGTTTTGATGTCGAAAAAGCGAGAGTAAAAATCCCTTTGTTTTGCTATTGCATGTATAATAACTTTAAAAGTAATGAGGCTACACAAAATCTGATAACAGTTTTGGAATCTACAAGAAAAAATATCTCTGTGGCTAAATTTTGGAAACCTTAACTTGAAAACTAAAGAAAAAGTGTTTTCGAGTAGCGTCTCCCCTTAACGAAATTTTATATAAATGCACAGGTATATGTATTTTTTTATACCAATCTCTAAAATGTAATTATTTTTTCTGTGACTCATTATGTAACCTAATAGTCAGATTTC